GCTTGCCTGCAGCCCAGTTCTAACCATGTTTCATCAGAAGTCATATTGATTCCAACAGGATTTATTCCCAAATAAACAGGTTTAGGATTACAGACCTAAGCAGCAAGGCCCTGATAAGGATCCCATTAGGAACACATTTGCACAATGACAATTTTAGGATTTAAAATGTAATAACTATTTTAGACCCCAACATTGAATTGCAATTTGTTCTGGCAAACTATTATGCTGTTCAAGTAACCTGTAAATATTCAGGGTAACTCCAACCCAGAGCTGCTTTCAGTTGGTTAAAAGTGCCCAGTTCTGTGCATCCTTACAGTCTGATCCTATGCATGTCAACTTGGAAGATTTCACTATATATGACAGGGCCTTACCTGAAGATAATTGGAAGCAAGTACTATTACTCCTCCTAATTTACTTCAAGGTACTTCCAACACTAAGGTGCCAGGAACTAATATCTCTCCTTACCTGATATAAGTTAGGTTTCCTTAGGACCTATTTAATATAACAAAATGCTGTGTTTCTATATTTCCTTCTCGGTGAAAACATAAGCCTCTTAGTGATCCTAGACACTGAGGAGGCCTGTACTCACTTAGCTTCAGCAAAACTATACAGCAGGTACTTCTGGATCACACACTGTTAGTGGATGCAGTAGAGGTGTGTTACTGGACAGTCATCTTGAAGTATGAAGAAAGCAGCAGCCAGAGAAGACCAGGGTCTGAGAAGAAGCTGATCATGGGCTTGCAGTAAATGGCTGGCACTCAATCTCATCTGGCTGACCTCCTTCAACTAAAGCAGGTTTTGAGTCACAGGGCAAACCAGAAAATGAAGTCACAACCAAGGCACCAAGAGCTCAGTGAAGTAAAGGATCAAGCAAGGATTGGGCAAAGTGCAAGTGGAGGTCAAAAGCACACTTGACAGTAAGGTACACGCAGCCCAGAAGCAAGGTAGGAGCACTGACCATTAATCAAGGCAGTCTGGGAAACAAGGCACTGGTGCTGGAGAACACGTTTGTTTTCCAACATTGGTTGAATGGACATCCAAGGTTTTTAACATTTAGAGTCTGCTAAGTCCCACTCAAAGCTCAGCTCCAGTCTGTCATGGTTCTCTGCTCAGAACCCTACTCCTGAGGAGTCACTTTTTCCAGAAGAGGCCTATTTAGCAAGCACAGAAGCTTGGTGATCCGCCACTGGAGGCAACAGCATTCCGAGGAGTCCGGGTATTACTCGGCCTCTGCCACAAAATCCCCTCCTCCAGACAGGGATGGCCCTACAGCCTCTTCATGGTCTTCTGCCACAGATGATGCCATGGCATATGTTTCTGGGAGATTGAGCTCCTCTTCAGAGAAGGAATCCTTCAGCAAGAGTTATGACACTGACAGTGTGATGGATTTGGTCAGTGCCTTTTTTGTCATAGAACGCACCGGAACAGAGTTCTGGCACCTTTTTTCGACAGATTTTCCAACTTTTAAAAGTAACTTTTGAAAATTTGATGTTTGGTCCATGTGGATTCAAATCGCCCTGTTGAGCGTAGCAGGTTGGCGGCAAAATCATTAAAGTGGTGCATGCGGGCTGCTTGTGTGTCGAGTCCGATGCGTGCGTACTTCATCCGCGCTGGTTGTGATGGCGCAGCTCAGCTTGTGGTGCTGCTCGCCTTGTGATTGGTCGTGTGATTGTGCACTGAGTGCTTACTGCGGGCGGTGACCATTATGTTTCGTTACACAACTGACGTGTGTGGGTGTGTGTACAGTGATTGACTACGAATGAAAGGTAAATAATTTCATGAGTTCTGGCACCTTTTTTCTTACAAAAAAAGCACTGGATTTGGTACTGTAGAATCAGGGAGGTTTAGGCCAGAGGATGGGTTATCCAGATGGCAAGGGAGAGGGCTATTCTGGGGGGTTCCTGACCCTGCACAGGGAGGGAGTAAGATACCGTTCAAAGTATATTTGAACAACAGGAATGACTTTCTAACTTTGGTGGAGGTGGTCATTTTTCTTTAGCTATCCAAACCCTGATTATAGCCTCCGTTAACCAAAGAAAAGGCATGCTTCTCAACCTGGAAGCAGCCCTCTTTATGTAATGTTAGAACAGCATAGGCCCATGACATATATCAAGGCAGGACACTTATCCATAATGTCCCTAAGTAACATGGAAACTATCCCTACCTGTCTTCCAGACTTGGTCATCACCTCACTTGTAACAAAAATGCTGAATGTTTTCAATAAAGAGCTGGTTGCATTACAGGTAAGCCTTGTGCCCCAAGGACTGAATCTGAAATTAAAATGTATGCTGGGAAACATTAATAACACAACTTGACATTCATTTCAATAATGCAACTTCATGATAGATTTACGTTCATTTATTCCAGCTGTTAGATCAGGCCCCAAATCCCACAAAATTCAAAGAAGGTATTGGGAATCACTTGAGTCACACAGCGGGCTCCAGGTCTCTAATTAGCTTAAAGTGCAATGTGGCAGTTCTCAGTGCTCAGAAGAGAAACAGTGACCTCTTCTGGATGCTGGAAAGGAATCAAGCAGTCTATGACAAGAGGTCGATGTAAGAATAGTCTAATAAGGAGACTCATTTGCATTCCTCTACGGGGGTGGGGTGGGCGAAATAAGGCATGTTAAACAAATTTTATGTTGACCAAGTATGCTGCTTTTTTGAAAACAAATGCTTGTATTAATTAAGAAACATCTTCATCTTGGAAAATCCAAAAAAGTCCATAAAGCTTCAAAGCACGCGGAGCTTCAAAGCCATATAGAGACTAAACAATTAGTTTTTTAAAAAAAAGCCCAAACAAAAAACCGCCTCCACTCATCTTCTTTCAAGTGGTGATTAACTTAACTTACTGGCCAAGTTATTGGATGAGCATTTCTAGATAAAACAAACAAAATGCCTTGAAATATTGTAGTGGTTACATTGAACTCCAACACAAAGGGCTAAATAGCCAGTCTGTCACTGAAAGCTAATTCAAATGTTAAGCATCTGTGTGAGCACCACTGAGGCTGAGGCAGAGGCCAGGCCGCCATGTGCTAGCATTTCACAGGGAAGCCTTAACATGTGTTACATGGTTGGGAGGAACCTCTCATGCAAATTGCTTCCAGGCACCCCAGCATTGCATTGACCACCTGGTCAGAGAGGAGCCATGATATGGCCCTCAATTATGTAATACATTTGCCAAAGTTGCTGATTCCCTGGGAATTGCTGCTAAGTACAAGAATCTGTCCTGTACCATGAAGGCAGATGAGAGTGATCGCTTCAACTTCTCCATAATCTCCTTAATCTCCTTTAGTATTCTTATTATAATCCAATAGTCCAACTGCCTCTGTAGGTGTTTTCCTGCTTCTACTATGCTTAAAGAATTGTTTATTGTTGACTTTGATAGTAATAGTGATATGCTTCACAAAATGGTTTGTTTGTTTGTGTTATCATCTGTTTGAATCTCCCTTGTGCGACATAATCCCTTCATTTCCTCATTTGGGCAAGGCTTGCATTTTCAGATGGTAGCATACCTTTCTCTAATAGCTCCTTTGACACTGCTTGTTAACCATGCAGGTGGCTTCTTGGACTTTGTGCTATGTACCTGCCAAACTTGTGGAATGCATTTTATCTCACCTTCTATTATTGTGGTTTTGAATAATCTCCAAGCATTGTGAAAGAATTTATGCTTTTTTGGAAGTCATATTGTGACAGTATTAGACCTCTTTAGCAATCTCTACTTACATATATAAGCAAATCTGACAATACTGTGGTCACTTTTTCCAATTTGTTCAACAACATTTACATCTTGTACTAGGTCCTGACCAGGTCCCAGGCAAATCGTTTCCCCAGGGTTAAAGCCAAGATGGCATCTTCTCCGATTGGTTCCACACTCAACTGTTCTAGGGCACAGTCATTTAGGAAAGTGAGAAATTTAACCTCCTGATCAGAACTGGAATAGCCATGTATCGAGTCAATATGGAGGTAATGGAAGTCACCTATTCTATTGCAGCACTGCCTTCATTTGAGCCTCACTTGCGTCATTCCCCATCTCAAGGTGACCCTGAACATTCTGTTCCTGGGCATGAGAGCATGTTCTCAAGACTAAATTAGTCTTACAGTCATGTTTTGTCACCAAGATGCTTATGTGGTGAAAGCGTGCCTCCTGGATGTTCATATCTGCTGGACTCTGTGCCCTCTTTGATGTGCAGAGCAACACCTCCTCCAGGATGCCCTTCCATAGCCTTCCTATACAGCTTGTATCCAGAAATGACCTATATCACTTTAATGAATATTTCTAAACTATAATGTTCTACTTCAAGGCCATGCAAAGTACATTCTCTTACCTTCACTTTTCTTCAGTTTTCCAAGTATTAACATAACTCTTGCATAGCAAGAAGACTTTGTGTTATGCGTAAAATGTATTAGGATATAAACATTTGAAACATGAAATGCATTTTCAGTCACTTTCTTTATGCTGATTGCTTCTGTTTAGCAATATGGCACTACAATACTTAAACACTGTGTGAAAGGGCTTTGTGTAGCTAACTCAGGGTTATACAATTTTATCTGAACATTACACAAAGGCTAATTACATAGCAACAGTAACTAGCTAACTGACAAGTTTGACAGATGGGTTACACAGCAAATAATAAAAAGTCTGTATTCCATTAATAGCTTAGCTACCAGCTTTGAAAACACTCTTCCTCCCAATACTACCTATAATATCTTATAATGCAGCTGTATTTACTGGAATGCTGTTATCGGGTACTTTTTTATTTTTTACGTTTGTCAACTCTGCCTGTTGTTAAGTAACAGAAAAGAGGATCAGAAGACAACAGCACTGCACTTTTCACCCACCCAAGCTGTTGTAAGAGTTGAACCACCACAATATTTCTTGGAAGAAACGGGAGAAAATTTCTTTAACCACCTTCACTTTCTTATGGTAAATACCAAAGTTCAAAGGAACATTTACGTATTGTGGATACATGATAGAAACACATCACGTATTCGACTAACATGTTCACAAATCCATATGCCACAGAAGTACTGAGGACTAAAAAGAATGAGCTTGTAGAAGGCATAAACAACCCTGATCACCTTCTAAACTGGCTGATCGAAAATGGTATTCTTATGCCTGAGAAAAAAATGGTTTTATCCTACTACAGAACACGGACAGCAAAGAACTCCCGGGTTTTGGATCTCTTGGCTTCTCAAGGTGAGCGAGCCTGCAGGCTGTTTTTTTATCCATGTCTAAAACAGATCGAGCCCCATCTATATAACAACATGAGGAATTATGTCAGTAATGTGAATGAGAAAATTGGTGATGCTAGAAGGCAACTGATAGGATACCTACTTGAGAAAGATAAAGAATGGGTCCAAAAGGTTAAGGATTTCCACCAGGAGAAGAAGGATAGTGCTAGACAGGTTTTAGCTAAGCCAGAAAAGCTGACTCGGGTCAAATGTAAAGAAAAACAAATTGTTGCAGCAGAAGTGAAATCCACAGGCAATGATTTTAATTCTCCTAGCATTTTTGATTCTGTAGCCAAAGGTAATCTTTCTGATTTGGAAAAAAGCTTAAAGCTGAGTGATGTTAATGCTGTAAACGCTGCAAACGAAACCCTCTTACACATTGCAGCAGCTCATGGACACACTGAAATAATAGACTATTTAATCAGCAAAGGTGCCAAGCTGGAGGCAAAGGATAAAGCAGGAAGAACCCCTCTACACAGAGCTGCTGGGAAGGGTCATGATAAAGCCGTGAAGATGCTGCTCCAAGCTGGTGCCAGCATGTACAGCTTGGATCAAGAAGGCAAGAGCCCACTTCACATGGCCAGCCAGAACCACCATATGCATGTTCTACAAAGCATCCTGAAGGAAGAGGCAAGGCGACACAAGAACCGGCACAACTTCCTTCACATGGCTGCTCTCGAAGATGACAGTGACCTGGTGCGACTGCTTTTAACAAATGGTGCTTTGGTGGATGCCAAGGATGAGAAAGGGCAAACTGCTTTGGGTTATGCTGTATCTCGAGGATTTGAGAAGACCACCGAGGTACTGCTGGAAGAAGGGTCTAGCATAGATTCTAGCATCATTGATGCAGCTTTTAACAGCAACAATCAAGCTCTATTCAGGCTGTTGCTGGAATATTCCAAAGGATTTTCACCAGATACCATGGTGTCAGCACTTTTTAGAGCCATACAGAAAGACCTCCATGGCATCGTAGCTGTTTTAATTGAAAGAGGTACAGACATCAATGCTCTCAATGAAATGCAGTACACGCCATTGCTTGTGGCGTGCGAACAGGGGAAGACAGAGTCAGCAAAAGTTCTAATTGAAAAGGGAGCCAACCTGAAGCACAAAACCCCTAATTCAAACAGTGCTTTACATTTGGCAGTTCAAGCTGGAGCCTTTTCCGTCACTAAGATGCTCCTGCACAAAGGAATGGATCCTAATATTACAGGCCAGGGAGATCAAACACCCCTCTACGTTGCTGCATTGCACAATAAGGAAGCACTAGTTGACATATTAATTGAAAGAGGAGCGAAAATTGATACTGTCACCAAAGAGCTACGCACTCCATTGCACATTGCGAGTTATAAAGGGCATGTTGCTGTTGCTCAAAGGCTCTTGCAGCATAAGGCCAATGCTAATCTTAAGGATAAGCAATCAAAGACACCTCTTCATCTTGCTGCTGACATGGGGCATCCTGCTATGGTCGAACTGCTTCTTAAGTCCAGTGCTGATCCAAATGCAAGGGATAAAGAGAAAAAGACGCCACTTCACCTGGCAGCCACAGGAGGGCATCTTAACACAGTGAAAGCACTTCTGGCTAAGTCTAGCTTGATCGCCAAAGACATGGATGGCTGCACATCAGCGCACTATGCAGCCACCAAAGGGAACATGGAGATAATGAAAGCACTTCTGCTTGCTGGGAACAATAAAAATATCAATGACAAAAATATATGGAGAAAGACGCCACTGCATCTTGCCGCAGAACATGGACACAGTGATTTGATACAATTTCTGCTGAGCAGTGGTTCAGCTATCAATGCCTTGGATAACACTAAAGACACCCCACTGCACTGTGCTTGCAAAGCTGGCCATTTGAACTGTGTTAACACACTGGTCAACTGGTCTGCCGGGGAGAAAGCAAACCTACAGGCTACAAATAGCCTGAAAAAAACTCCACTGCAAACAGCAGAGTCTAGCTCAACTGAGAACCAAGCTGAAATTGTTACTCTTTTGAAAAAGAAAATGTTATTGATGAGATAAATTTGCAAAGAGTAAGTGGCATAAGTATGCCTGCCTCTGCTTAATGCCTTATTCATACAGAGGCAGCACATGTGTGGGGGATGCCTCGTTTATATCTCTAGATTTTTTAAAACTTAGAATAAACCAAGTTGGGCATGGGATGCTCAGAGATTGAATGGTGTGGCAGCAATGGAAAAGGGGGTGGATAAACTTTTTCTTTTTTGCCATTTGTCCAACTGAAATCCCTATATCTATTAAGCGTTTGTTGATTGGCCACACTGGAGGGCGGTAAGAAGGCAGGCATGGTAGCTCCAATAGGAGAGGAAATAGGTATTTAGATTAGCAAAATGGCATGGGAGGAAAAGGTAAATACCACAGCAACACTACTCTAATGAAAATGAATCCAGCCTCCTCATATATCAAATTTGCTTAGAATTTAAATTCAATATTTAAATATTCAATATCAAAATTTGAATTTAAAAGAAAAAGGTGTGAAGACCAAATCATAGGTCTTTCACATTACATACATAGTTCGTTAAGCAAAGTTTTCTTTTTCCCAGGAACACTTTCTTTTTTCCTTTATGAAGACATCCAACCCCTGTCCCTCATTTGGAGAAGCATTCTGTTTTGTGGGCTTCCTCCTGTATTCTAAAGTTGTACAGTGAGAACTTGGAGTATCAGTTCAAATGAGCTATCTACTTACTGAATATAAAGGATGCCAATGCCCCCCTTTGGCAAAAACAGCCCCACAACAACATGCATTCACATTAACAGAGGTAGGCAACTTGTGGTCCTCCATCAACTCCCATCATCCCTCACTGTTGTCTATGCTGGTTAGGGCTGATGGGGATTCTAGGCCAAAATATCTGCAAGGCTGCAGGCTGCCTAATTTTGTATCAAAACATGACAATTGTATGGCAACTACTCAAGTGGATATATCTTCAGATGACTCAACATGAATGTGAAGGAATTTATTGAGAATACTTGAGTACCTACTATGTAGTTATCAGTGGCCAGAGTAGTAGTAGTAGTAGTAGTAGTTGTTGTTGTTGTTGTTGTTGTTATTATTATTATTATTATTATAACATTTCTATGCCGCCCCTTGACTACTCAGGTGGATATATCTTCAGATCTCATGCAGTTTCCAAACCACTTCTTTAATAAAGAACATAGTAAACTTGATAAATAACTAGACAACTTGAACTAATTCAAGAGCCACTGTGGTGTAGTGGTTAAGAGCATGGGACTGGGACCCAGGTGATCTGGGTTCTAGTCCCCGCTCAACCATGGAGCCAACTGCGTGACTTTGGGCCAGTCACAGACTCTCAGCCCAACCTACCTCACAGGGTTGTTGTTGTGGGGATAAGATGGAGGGGGAGAATGATGTAAGCTGCCTTGAGCCCTTTGTAGGAAAAAGGCAGGATATACATCAATCAATCACTCAAATAATTCAGTCTATGGCAGAGCCAGAAGCAAGCCACAGTGAATTCAGTGGGACTTACTTGTGAATAGACATGCAAAGGGCCACACTGTAGAATTCTGTCCAGAAGTTCACCTGAGTCAGGAGGAATAGGTATAATTTCAGGGCTAATTAAATTATACTGAAGAATAAAGCAAGAAGCAGTCATCTTTCCCCCTAAGTTACTTTTATTTCCATTTCCTGTTGCATCCATTCTAAGGATGGGTGGTAAATGAAATTAAAAGATTTAGTCCTACAACTCTTGTAAGAACTTTTTTCAGTCAAAAATGCATAGAATTGCACCTAAAATCAGGGCCAGTTGACATATGTATGTTCCCTACCTGAGGGCTGCAGCATCAAATAATGCATTGTACAAGTGAGAAAGGTGCCATGAAAAGTTTTCATATCAGCTCTTAAATGTCATATTTTTGAAGGGAAACAGTTTCAACATTCAGTGGAGAGTCATTGAAAAAGGAGACATGACACAAACCTACCTATGCAAATTATGAGTTCTTAGAACAGGCATGGAAAAGAGTTCCAAGTAAAAAATGGCATATTTGAAGGATGCTTCAGTAAGTCTGCAGGAGGTTCCAATAGCTGTTGAGCTACTAAAGATGTGCTAGAGCAGCAAAACATATTTAAAGGAGTGTGCATACATGCATTGTGCCTCGTTTCTCAAATGAAACTACAATGTTTTCTTTTTAAGAATTTTTCATAGCCATTGTATCACTGAGCTCCCTTTTATCAGTTGGCGGGGTCTGATTAGGCCCACTAGGTGCAGCCATCTGCTAGCTGGACCAGAAAATAGTTGTGTGTGCCTGAACTGTGCTGTGTATGTAGTAATCATGTCTGAACTCTACTGCAGCTCATACAGTTGAGGCTGAGCTCCGTGGTGCATACACGAGGAACAAGTGCTTCGGAATGTGCTGGATTCTTTTCTGACTGCCATTTTATTTAATGGCACCCAGCAAATGGAACGCCCTGCCACAGTAGACTGGGCAATCTTACTCCTTGCCACTTTTTAAATAATAGTTCTTCTCTAACTACTAGTTTTGTTGTTCTTGGTTCATTTGCTGTGCTTGTTGTTTGATTACTGGATAGTGTATAACTGATCTTAATTACTTTGGGCATTCTTGTTTGGGTAGCAGGCAAAATCTGGGTTACAAATATTTGTAAACGTAAATAAAATCATGTATTTAAGGCTGCAACTACACTATATTCAGTACTGAAAGGGAAAATTAATTCATTGTAATGTGGTGGATGTATCCTTATGTGACAGGATTTCTGTATGAGACATATTCACTCAAATGGATGCAACCTAGCATAATATGAGGTAAAAGCTAGTGATCATCAGGGTGAATAAAAACATTTTTTAAAAAATGATTTTTAAAAAAAGATTTTTAAATTTAAATTGGATATTTATTTAAATTTGATTAAAAAATATTTTTAAGGAAAAAATATATCTAAAGGTATGTATTTAAGATACAGAATAGCCCAAAGGTCATTCATCATGAAAAAGGATTAGTTTTTAATGATGTAGCATGAGGCTGTATATTCATGCAATGGTTACATTTGGTAGATGAATTACATTAATCCATTCACAATGTCATGGTCATCCAGATGTTTCTGTGAGATTACTGGGCATTTTTTCTATCTAGAAGATACTATCACAGATTCTTGGTTTTACAGTTCTCCAAACTGAATTTGTTTCTGCAGAGATCACATGCCTCTTCTTCACATCAAAAATATTATAAAATAAACATACGAGTTGAGAAAAAGACCTCAATTCCAATTGTTCCTTTGCAAATCTATGTATACAGAATAAACCCCTTACCTCTTAAGTGCTCAATTTCAAAAAAAAAAAAAATGAATAGAAGAAGATTGTTGGGAGTGGAATAGATCTGCACAAGAAGATACCTGTGAGGAGGGAGGGGCAAGCAGTAAAAAAGAAAGTGAAACCTTTTGAACAGAATACTCCACAAGTCTTTGGATCTTTTAGTGTATAGGCTGAGGTTTATCATATTATTCTTTCCCTAGAGAAGAAACCTATAATGGTAGCAGGCTGTAAAAGAGTACCAGTTTGGGAATATTTTGGGAATAAGTTCCTCTACCCACGGGTAAGGCAGGCCTGGGTGAAAATTAAGTAGAAAACCATGATTCAAATCTAGTCTTACAGAAGAGTGATATCATTCACAATTTAAATCAATTTGATTTAAATTAAATCCACCCTAGTTATCACGTTCTTGCACAAGATCAATACTTCTTCATTTAGGTTAAAGGAACTGTGGAAGAATTAATTTGATTGTTTAAACATACAGTATTGCCATGAGTTTTTAATTTAATGGAAATATTACACTGGCTGCCTTGAGACTTGCTCTTAATAAAAGTCAAATTGTATTTGAATCTTCCTCTTACTCCTGCTGGTCTGTTATTTATTTATTATATCTATGACCCATTTGCCCTTCAACAAACTCAGTAGTTTATATCACACAGACTCCCATGTGGATGCTGGACAAGAGTTAACAAGATATACTGGTTCTGCATACCATTCTCGGGTTGTAAGTTAGCATTTCTTCAACAGAGTAGTGATTGATCTTGGAAAGACATTTCCAACGATTTCTGACATCATCTGTTTTAAGTTTTAAATTCCTTTATGAAACTTGCAAAGCATGCATACTATACTGACAGTAAAATTCATCTTCACTAGATAAATTTATGAGAGGGAAATCATATTTGACACTGATCACAAGAACAAGATGGATAGACACTTGTCTCCATTTACATTATTTCATTTATACTGCTATAATTCATGAGTTTGAGTATATTATAATTCATTTCAGTTTATTATATATCACTTATTTTCAAGTTTCCTTAGAACACAATCATTTGCTTTTATTTTACCCCTGATTTTATGCATATTTTACTTGGGAGTAGGCTTGACTGGGTACAGTAGAATTATTCCCAAGTAAGTGTGTACAGATCAGGGTAAAATTCGCCAAATCTGTGAAGCAGTCTACTCAGCAATTTCACCGGTGAGTTATTTTAACAACTTTCACGTGAATCCGTTTAGCCCCTGCAGATCGTGGAATAGAGAGGAATTGGGGCGTAATGGTGGAGCACATCTATTAGGTGCAGAAGGTCTGTGGAGGAGTTTCTCGCATCTCCAATGAAAAGGGTTGGGTACTGGATGATGAAAAGGACCTCTGCCCAAGATTCTGGGGAACCTCCAGCAGGCTGAGTGAACAACACTGAGCTAGATGGACACAGAGTCTGTCCTGGCATGAGGCAGCTGCCCCTATTCTTCATTTAGGTCCCAAACGCCCCCTATTGTTAGTTCTGTTTCACAGTGACCCTCAATTACGGATAGCCGCGGACTCAACTTCTCTTGACACTAGCCGATGCACTAAGAAATGCCCTGCATTCAGACGTGACACTGCCGGTGGAACTATCCTGTATCCCACGCAGCACAATCCTGCACACGTTTAGACGCAGAAAAGGCCCAGCATGCTTTTAGTCCGGCAGTTTTGTCCTGACTGTTTGTACTTTCATATCTTTCTTGGATTTTGTTGTACTTTTATGTTGTTATTTTGCACGCTGCTTTAGGAGCAGATTATTTTCGAAACACATACACACTTTCTTGTACAGAGATATTATATGAACGCATGCGCGCCACCTCCTCCCCCACCCCTTCTCGCTCTCAGTCCGCGATTCCAGCCACCTCCACTCGAGTCTCCCATTCACTGGCAGGCCCGGAGAGAGCGCGGCGCTTCGTTTCGCGTTCAGCGCATGCTCAAATCTCTAGCGCCACTTTCCCGGTTCCTGTGCCCGCCACCATGGAAGCGGAGTCTATGGTTCAAAACTATTTAGAGACGACGGTTAACCCCTCCCTTTCCTGTTTAGTTGCCGCGAGATCCGGGGGAGGCTCCAGTATGGAGGCGCTGGAGGAGCTCGACGTCGATGTTGAGGGCGACGCGGCGGCTGCGGATGGCGAAGCGCATCCCGGGTGAGCGTGCCTCAGGGGAACCTCCCGGTCTCATCCGGACCTCTGCCCCTGGAAAGACCCCTGTGGAGCTGGCTCCGTTTTCCAAGGCGCGGCTCTGGATCGAGAGCATTTCCCGTAGCTCCTCTGCATCATGGTCGTTCTGGATCTGCCCGGTGCCTTGCTGGGGATCCCTTTTGTCCCGGCCTGTGGTCTTTGTGGATGGGGGCAGCTTCCCGTCTTCAGCATCATTGCGATCATGCTGTTATGGTCAATTTACACCTGGGATGGAAATGTGTAGCTTTCCAGATGTTGTTGGACTACAACTCCCTTGAACCTTCACTCTTGGTCATGCTGGCTAGGCCTCACGGGAGTCGCAGTCCAACAATATTTGGAAAGCCACGCCTCCCGTCTCTGCCCCCTAGATTAAAATGACCCATTACTGTTGATACGCTGTTCTGTGCCCGCTGCAAGAGTACAGAATGCCCCTTCTACTCTTCCTGGGCTGCTGCTATGGATGGATGCTGCTAGAGTTAATCTTGATTCCCCTTTCCTTTGGAAATCTGGCAGAGGGGTACTGCTAATTATCTTGATCCTAGGAAATATGAGATGCACACATACATGGCAAGAGTACAAGATAAAGCCACAGATGGTCTCTACAAGGATAGTCTTTCAACCTGATCTACCTGAATTATAACTGCTTACTCTTATTAAGTTCAGGAGCAAACATAAAAGCAAGTAAGGGCTGGGATAAATGGAGGTAACATCACTTCAATTCCCTTCCAATTATCAGCAGAGTCTGTTGGAATGTACACTGTGGCTCATTCCTGTGAAGCAGGTTATTTTCTCATTTTGCTACTTTCTGCTTTGCAGAATTGTGTAGTGCTAGCCACAGATATGTTGTGGATAGGACATTTTGGATGACTTTCATTCATAAGGTCACCATAAGTCAGAGACAGTTTAACACTACATAATAACAGCCACTGCACAGATCAATTCACTCCTAGTCTTGAAATACCACTATGCAAAGATATGCATATGAAAAATCACCTAACTCAAACAGATCTACCTATGTTGTTGCCCTAGCAGTAAATATGAATGGCTTAACCAGGTTTTCTGAACAATATTATTGGAGATGTATTTCCAACAGGTTGGCAAAATAGATATATGAGTTAGCAGGAAGCCAAAAAGGCACTTCTCTGAGAAGTAAAAATGACTTGGGCAAGAAAATTGTTCTCTAATTTTCAGACATTGCAGATTTTTATTTTGCAAGTAGTTTGAAAATATTGTCCCCAGTAAGCTAAAAAATTGAATAGTCAATATTCTATTAAAATTATTCTTCCAGATACTTTTGAATTAGAATAATATTTCTTTAATTTATTTGACAACATGATTCACTTATTTTAAAAATCAGTATTTTCATAGTGTCATGATTTGATTTCCTATTGTAGATTTTACTGTTTTCTTGTAAAAGCAAACAAAGTAGTTAAGCTCCGGTACAAGATACTGGACCAATGCAACATCATGTGTCATCCATTAGCTATCATCCATTAATGCAACTACAGCTTCTGGGAAACTCAGTTCTTTAAAAAATCAGAATATCTAATATATGGATTTTTATTGCAGAAACTATGAAAATCCATCATCCAGCTTACTCCAAGATCACTACCTTGATTCAACTTGGAGAACTGATATGGGTCTTGTAAGTCAGCTATGAAATAAGACATTCAGCTCCTCTGAATGCCTCTCTGAAAACATCTTAAGACATTTTTGTATCTTAACCAGTTCAGACAATCTCTGCATTCAGCTAGCTGGTATGTACAGTAGGCATTTGTGTGCATCTCCATGTGTAAGCTAACTCTTCCATAGACAGTTCTTTTGTAAGTGATTGCCCAAGAAATATTGCTGCTTTTTAAGTAGGAAAGGCTCTGTAGATCTTGTCCATGAAATCAAGCAGAAATAATGTCTGTGTTTGTCTTTACAATGGGTTATATCAGATGTTAGAGGTCCCATTGAAATGAATGCGACTTAAGTTAAACTACCATTGAACACAGCCTAATAGTCTCATTAACTGTATTATTTCATACCATTTTAAAGAATATTTGGTCTTTGATGAGTTCTTGTGTCCTAATTCCTACTAATACCATATATATACTGCCGTAAAGGACAACCCTTAAAGCTGGAAACAGCAAGGCAAAAATTAGGGGTTGTCTTATATGCCAGGTAAAAAATTTTCATCATATTATATTCATTGTTTTTTAAAAAAGATTAGATAATGAAGACAATTGTTTTTATAAGCTCATTTTATTAATAATTATTTTTTACCGTTCTTACTGGTACCTGGGGAGCTCATCCTGCATTGTGAAGTTTGCATGGCTACAGGCCCAGTCCCAAGTCCATTTCTCACCCTGTCCTTATGGCGGGGTAAGAGAAGTTCTGGACAAGTGTTGGTGGCAGCTGAGAGGGAGAATGTGCCCCATACAGCTGTCTGTTCAGAGACATAGTGCTGCCTACGTGGGCCTCCTCCCTCTTGCCTGCCCCCCTGTGCCCATCCACGGTGCTGGTGCTGGCCATCCTCCCTGACTGACCCCAGCCAGAAGCCCCCCTGTTGACTGCCATCAGTCTCCAACTTTACAAGAACGTCTTGAGTGAAATCAGAGAGGGATCATGACTATGAGCTAGAATACGATAGCATGATGTCACAGTAGTCCAGAAGCCTCCAGCTGACAAATACCCATATTTACCAATGTATAAGACCCCCTTGAAACTGAAATAACAAAGGAAAAATTGGGAGTCATTTTATATGTCCAACATGACAAACACCAGAAAAACAGCCCAAAATATTGATCTTGTCTTATACTCGAATTGCCTTATATGCCAGAATATATAATATTTTAAATCCAAGTTTTGCCACAAGTTCTGTGAGAGATTTGAAAATCTGTACCTCTTTATTTCTTCTGTGCAACTCAAAAATGGGGAATATTAACTTAGCTCCCCAAATTTGGTGTACAAATTAATGCATATAAACGATTATGTTTTTCTCTTAGCCATGGAGTCTTGATAGCACAATTAGTGAAGAAAATAAGGCTGCCATTGAGAAGATGTTGTTGGAAGAAGAGTATCCTTTCTTAATTAAGTGGTATGACAAAATAGAATCTTCAATACAGGAAGAATGGTGCTATAGTGCAGGCTTGCACTTAACAGGCAACCATTGGTGATTAACAATTGGCCCGTAAAAACACAGTGGTAAATTTCATTTGTTGGCAAGATACTACTTTTAGGGCACCATCCAGTGTGGCTGCTTGGAACCTGCTGAACCTGGAGGATTACAGGCATCCATTGGAGGACAGCAGGTGTGTGGAGATGAAGCTTGCCTCTGCATTCTCCAAAATCCTTACTGGCTGATCTCAGCTCTCTAAGTGTTGTATCCCCACTCAGGAAGAGGAAGGGTTCAGACACTGCCAGGTGTGGTAGAGCCTCGTTCCTTTTCTCCCCAGTCTCTCTCCAAAGTTACAGTTGGTGTGGAAAGGAACTACCTCAGCTGGGAGGGTACTCTGAATTCAAGCCCCACCTTTGACATTCCATTACTTTTGGAGCTGGGGCTTCAAATTTTCCTATGGCCATCTGAACAGCTTCTAGGGGGCACAGTAGCTTCCTGCTTCTTTAGCAAAAGAAACATTCCTGTTTCCATTTTCCTTGTGTCTAAGCAAGACCCAGGAAGTTAAAATAACTCAGACTGCAATCTTGATATACACTTACCTGGGGTTTAGTCCCATTCAAAACAATAGATTATTTCTCAGTAGGCACTAGGATTGCACTGTCAGCCAGCGGAATTATGTGTACTCTTTGTTTTTCTTTACCTTTGCAATGATCTGAGTAAAAACTCATAGAAGTATAAAGTGAGCTCAACATACTTTCATTTGTAGATACTGGTTTTGTTTGGAATCTGAGAGTTATACAAGAGCACATTTTGATGAATAAAAAGGCACTTTATTAATTCTCACAGATTTGTCATTACTACATGCATTTTGGGGCTGAGGTAAAGCAGTAAAGACCTCTTAAGACCTTGGCCTCATGGTTTGAGGCTCAAAGGAATTAGAGGGCATGAACAGATAAGGGCTGTTCATTTGCAGAGCCCTACATGATTTTGTAACATCAGGTTATTTTTTAAAGGTTTTATCTTTGAGAATGGAAGCCATCTACACAACTTGTGACTATAATTTTTTCTGTATATTCTATTTTGCTTCTTTGAAATTACATCAGTATGAAATAAAGTGAGTAAATATTCAAATATTTCCCATCTTCAATAATACGTTCAGAATAGCTGGTTTAACATGAGTTTTCCAAAGTGTCAGGTTAAAATGGGTTGGAATTATGCAGGCCTGCCCTGCCACCCTCCAAAAAGTTATTTTCCCAACATATTATTATTAATTTTATTTCTGTACTGCCCTAAAGCTGAAGCTGTGTGGGCAGTTCACTACAACATAGTGTGTGTGCTAATTTGCCAGAAACTGCTTTTGGAGTATATGACAACTGCTACTTTTGCTAAGAGATTCAGTATGGAAACTATGCAAACTAATGGAAATAGTTCTAATGCTTCTTGGTTTTAGTTTCTGTGAAAATGTGTAGCTACTGCAGAATTTTGTTTAGTAACTAAAACATTACTTGTACTCTAGGAATCATAAGACTGAAATGAAAATTATCCTTGATTTTGTCTAGATGTTGAAGATAAGAGTTGTAATCCTAGGAGAGAGGGGGTGTGACATAGAATTGTTTTGCTTGTGTACTTACAGACTTGCATAGTTGGTATTTAGGCTGCATTCCTAACTACATTATATGCAAAAATCCTATGTATGTAAATAGGTCATATAACTTCCATCTTTCCTCATTGCTGCCTTGAAGATCTTGGGAATTGTAGGACTATTTCCTCTCTAAAGATGGATAATATTGCACTCTAACCCTTATAAATTAAGATGTTAGCTTCTCCCTTCCTTCCCACAAATTTGACTGTGCAGATGTTTGCAGTTGTGTGATTTCTGGTTATTTAGTGATGGCTTCTTAGTGCAGTAAATCAATATGAAAATAAGAGTACGAACATATCATTAGCAATGCTGTAGAAAGTCCTTAATGCATTTCAGATACTATCTGTCTAGCAAGTCACTTCCAGAAAAAATTTGGCATGAGCTGAAGGAAAGTGATAAAAAGTGCACAAAAAGGTAATTATTGGGTGGAGACTGTAATTTATTCTATTTATTTAACATGTATACTCTGCTTTCTCTCCCAGAATTCAAGGTAGCTAAGAGCAAAAATAAAAAAATTGTAAAACTAAAATTGTGACAATTAAATGCATCCTTTAAATTTACAAAGTAAACACTGAACATTTAAACACGATAATGCAATATTAGTTAAACTGAATTTAACTAATTGATGCAATTTAAACTATATTTTTAAAAAGAGGTAGGGTACAGTCCTGTGTGTACTAGATAGAGTCTAGATGGCTATAAGAAAATTCAGTGTCCCATTTCTGACCTCAGACACATGCTCCAAATTAAGCAATAGGAGCTTAACTTGGAGTGTGCTAAGTTCTCCCTTGCAAGCAGTGCAGAGAGAACCATCTTCTCTGCAGCTTCAAGGTTGGAAGACCAGCCTTGGAGCTGGTGTTGGGTAAACGCTCCTATGGAGGAGTCTGACTGCACTGGTGTACCATATAAATTGGTGGTGCCTCAGCCTGACCTTGCAGAAAGGTGCAAACAATTTAGATGAAATTGGCCATCTGAGTCTTTTGCAAGGGTGCTGCAGTCCTTCCATCCTTGACAGAGTGTCCATAATCCTCTGAGTTCAGAAGGTTGTGGGCATCCTGATTGTATTGGGCTGATACAGATGAAAAATAGCAGTTAAAATCAGCTACGAAATGCTTTCAGGAAATTTGAGTGATGAGGAGCTGGGACTGGCCTTCTTTGTGGATGTGTCATCTAATCACATAGGTATAATTTTAAATACGTAAAAGGAGAGAAATGTGTTTAAAGGGTTACCAGTGTATCCATAGATAATGTTTTGTTTTGAACTTTACAGTCCACACAAGAAAGAAGCAAAAATCACGTATGTACTTTTAATTCTACATCTAAGAGCTTACTGGGTATATTGTATATATTTAGAACTCTTCTTAAACCAGAAAGAAAACCCCATAACAACTGAATTCCTTCCACTATTTATCTTATTGCATGTCCAATATCTTCTACACTCAGCTCCTTTTTAAACAAAATAAATTGCCACATTTTCGTATAAATTACATAACTAAAAAAAAAGGTTACATTGACATCTGTTCATTTCAAAGTATGTTGTTTATGTGCATGTTACTTCCAGTGAATGTGATTAAATTCACATTCTATTTTAGCTCCTTTTTGTTTTTTCTCTTTTTTTCTGTTAGGTTACGTTCACCTACAAAATCAACTAGTGGATCGCTGAAGTGGACTGTAGAAGAAAAAGAGCTATTTGAACAAGGACTGGTAAATATTGCCTGTGGTTAAATTGACTTGATGTTATGAACAACTACCTTTTTAAAAATATATTTTATCCATTTAAAATGGAACAAAATGTCATGTAATGCAATTAAGCGATAGAATAGTGATCCCTAAATATTAATACTAAACTGATTGTGCATTGAATAAAGTTCTTACGTAAGCAACTAGCTGCTTCTGAGATGTTTTGCTAGAGAAAGGAAGGGTGCAAGCCTTTGCATGGAGAATGCTGTCTAAAGATGCATAGGATTGTGCCTGGTATATTTTTTTCTTTCAGAAAGTCGGGTCTCCGGATGTGTTTCAATGGTATCTTTATGCTAAGAAAAGGCTTTTTAATCCAGTCAGAGCATATGTTGGCAGGGTGAGGAGGCAGATCAGTTTTGCCTGTCTCCCCCTCCCCTTGCATCATTCCCCTACACACCTTCCATATAGGTCCAATGAGTTCCACAAATATCTGGAGCAAATTTGTGGTGGTGCAGAGGCATCTGCAAAAATCAAAGCCTCTTCTCACTTGCGGGGACATGTTTAGATGCAGGTCCTTGTGCTTAGCCACTGAATAGGTCTCTTTCTGGCTTAAATTACTTTTTCCTTTCCTTCAGTCTCCTTTTGGCCTGAGACCTTAGCATACTTGTCCTGGCCCCCTCTCCCCATGAAAATGGCAAGAGAGCCAGTGTGGTGTAGTGGTTAAGAGTATGGGACTGGGACTCAGAGGATCTGGGTTCGAGTCCCCGCTCGGCCATGGAGCCAACTGGGTGACTTTGGGCCAGTCACAGTCTCTCAGCCCAACCTACCTCACAAGGTTGTTGTTGTGGGGATAAGATGGAGGAGGAGAGATAATGTAAGCTGCCTTGAGCCCTTTGTAGGAAAAAGGCAGGATATAAATCGAAAAAATAAAAAAAATCGAAATCGAAAATAAACTAAGAGATAAAGGTTGGTTTTAAGAAGCGAGTAGCTCATGTGTGGAATTGGCAAAAGCATGCACTTAAAACCTCAGGTAAGTGACTAGAAATAGAAATTGTATTTATATTTTCCATTAGGCTAAATTTGGCAGAAGATGGACAAAAATTGCCATGATGATTGGAAGTCGCAATGTTCTTCAAGTAAAGAGCTATGCCAGACAGTACTTTAAGAACAAGGTAATCTGGAAATAACTTTCAATTGATTGAGTAGCAACAAATAACAACTTCATCAAAACTTTTCACTGCAAGTCTCCCAAAACAAATTCTTCTTGCTTTCATTCCTAGTATCCTATAGTAATTGAACACCTGGGTTGGGTATTTTCCTGAACTATTTCCCTGTTTCTACCTCTCTTTACTAGTTCCCTTACACTCCAGCATAGATCTCAGGTAAGGCCATTCTAATGTTCACTACTCGTACCACAGCAGCTGTTAAGTCTCCTTGTGCTGGTGGTCAGCAGTGAACTGAGTATGAGTTAAAGACCTGACAGTAAACTCCTCCCTTGCAACCAAAACACACTGGGCTCTTCAATTCCTTCCTCCCGAATATGAAGAAAGACCAGCAGAGTTCTCCCTTAACCATTTGAGCTGCTCATTTCCATGTTCCTTTTTCTTGGTTTAGATGCACAAGCAGCTGAGGTGCCAAGTGCAGGCCTCTCATGGAGTGCCTGTTGCTATTCACCTTCATGCAGAGGGTGAATAGCAGATATTCATGTTTTCCCCACTTTCATGGGGGCCCTGGGCCCCTAATCCTCATGAATGTAGAAGGCTGACTGTATGCATTTTAAATTTCTAAAGTACAGTGGGGATTGATGTGTAGTTTCTTAAAAGCCATAGCAAGAGGCATGTGACTTACTTTTTCTTAATCAAGAAGAGCAAAAACAAATGTTTAGCAGGGAAATGCTAAGCTATGATATTCATATAAGTCACTGACTGTTTCTGTTTTCTTTGCGAGTGCCATTATTTTAAAAATACATGCAACACTAAAATGGAGCAACCTTGAAAGAGGGTACTGCTTCTTCAAGCTATTTTTAGTAGCTAGAATGAATGGATGAAATCCAGTATTGTGCAAGCCAGATTCCAGCTGTGCAATGGCATTCATTCCTTCTCTCATCACCTGCTTGCTCCCATGCTCCAAGGAATCCTGAGCAGATTTCAGTGGCACTGAAGTGGAAGCTATTTTGTTGGCCGGAAGAGTTAATTGGATACCAAACTATATCTTGATAGCAACTCATTGTCATTCTTACCTAGTATTCCTTTTCATCTCAAGTTTGTTATTTTGTCACATTTGACTCTTCTTAATATATTTATCTGTTAAGGCAAAAACTGATGGCTTGGAAAAACTGGAACAGCAACAGTGTGTCAACATTCCTATTCCAACTAGCAATGAAGATAATGAAGGGAAGAGGGCCTCCTGGGCATCTACTCACTTAAGAGGTCGGGCTGACCCTAATCTAAATGCAGTAAAAATTGAAAAATTGTCAGATGATGAGGAAGTAAATATTACAGATGAAATGGATGAACTACTGTCTTGTGCTTCTCAGCAAGAGCCTAGAAAGTCTGAAGTACTGGATATACCAAAGAGTCCATCTGGGCACAGCACCTGGACAGAACCCCTTTTGGAGTCTGCTGGATCTGCAGCTCTTCTAACAGCAAGATACATTCCACAGCCAGAGCAAAACCCAGTTGGGAAGCCAGGACCTGCAGTGTCATGCTCTGAGGACAGTGGCCATGGACCTAATCAATTAGAAAATCAGAAGTATGACAGAACAGGAGGTTCTCATGGTACTGATTTGTTTTCTAGTCCAGAGCTTTGTGGAGAACAGAGAGATTTAAGAGATAATAGCATTCTTTTCCATCCTTCTGACCAGTTGGAAGAAGAGAATCAGATGGATGCAGAAGAGCTTAAGCCACCTGATCAAGAAATAGAAATAGATAGAAATACTATATTAGAAGAAGAAAAGCAAGCAATACCAGAGTTTTTTGTGGGGCGTCAGGCAAAAACACCTGAACGCTATCTGAAAATTAGAAACTACATTTTGGATCAATGGTAAGTTACCTTTCCATTACAAAGAAAGACAGACAGAGTAGGGAAAATGTAGGCAAAGTGTATATTAAGTGTACCTACTTGTCATAATCCATTTTTTACCAGAAATAGCCATCTTCTTTATAGAGTTCAGCTGTTTGATATTACCTACTCCTTGGACAGCCAAAGTAGGGTGGGTCATCAATCAGATCCAAATTGTTCATTGTATGTTGCTTTTGACTTTCTCAGAACCTAAGACTTTGATTCTGATCTGAGTAGATGGATAGCAGTGAATGGGACTACTTTGTGGGCCAGATATTTATTGTAAGCTGTCCAGAGATCAAAGTGATGGACAGCCTAGAAATATCCTAAATAATAAAATAAAGGCTTCTGGCTGGTAGGTGACATCTCTTTTCTAGACTTCTGTTCTCATGCTACTAAGATATGAGAAATTTGGGGGTTGTAAGTAGGTTTTGAAGGAGTATAGGAAATAGTTCTTTCAGAGGGTTCCAGGCATATTGCTTTCTCCATGTGCAACTCTAGAAGACAATCATGAACAAGTTTGACACAATGTGATAAATTGTGTGTGTGTGTATCCTCCAGATAGACACACTTACTGAAAACTGACCCACACACAGTTCTAGAAGTATTTGCTATATTATGATCGATACCTTCCTCAAAGAACATTTTCTTCCCATTTCTTCCTGCCCAGTTGCTAAGATGGTCTTTGGAAGTTCTTGTCTAAGTGGCACCACTAGTGGCTGGTCGCTAGCCAAAGAGCCTTCACTGTAGTGACTCCCTTTCTATGGAATGTCTTTCCCAAGTGATCCACCTGCCATTTCCTTTGTGTGTGTTTAGATACCAGATTAAGACCTTCAATTTCCAGTAGGCATTTAATCTCTAATGTGTCAATTTGATTATTAATTTTACTGCTGAACCCTTCAGAGTTTTAATGTGGATACTGTGGTACTTTGATAGTTTTATTATATTTTTGGTTATTTTGTTTTTTGTTACTGTAAACCACCCCAAGGGCATTTGCCAGTTGGGCAGTATACAGATTTAATAATAATAATAAAAAAATGGTTAAACTTTTCATTTCTGTTGGTGGCAGCAACAGAATGTCACAAATTCATCCCCTGTCCTTGTGACAATGAACTTGGGCAAGTGGCGGTGCTATATGTATTATTTGATCATTCAACTATCATCTACATTTGCGATGAAAATTAAAATGCAATATGCGGTGCTTATGACAATTCGGTCATCAGTGATGGGATAACTATAGCCTGTGCAGCAGAGATTATTTAAAATGTGTCTTGTTTCATGAATATCCCATATGGTAAAAGATGCGATCATACAGACTTTGTCAAATTTAGTCCCATTGATTTCAGTCAGTCTTGCCTGATTTTTCTGAGCAATGAGAGGGACTCTCCCGTGTGATCTGCAAGATTCCATATGCATTCCCTGAAATAAGTAGCATGTAGCCACTTGCATACACTTTTGCAGTACCTTGCTAAGTTCCTGTGCTATAACATGGTGTATTTAGAGCACAGAGTTTATGGACAGTAAGAACTGCTGTACTCAGTGGGATTTATTCACAGGTAAGTGTGCTTAGAAATTGAGCCTCAGGGTGCAATGCAAACTGCTGAAGCTTGTGTATCGGCTAGTTTCACTGACACAGGGTTCTCAGTATAAACAACAAATTCAGTGTTATTTGTATGAAATATGTTCCATAATTTGATTGTGTTCAGTTTTTTAAAATGATGACTTGAGTTCTAAAATCACTAGGGAAAAATTGTGCTCTCCTCAATTTGATCTCTCATATCATTAGGAAAAAAATTCAAATGATGCCAGAGTTTTAGAAATAGAAGCAAGCAAACAGCTACATAAAAAGAGATTTGAGATTTAATTTCCTTCAAGTTGCTGAAAAAATGTTGAATATAACCAATATTAAATGGTCATAGTACTTATGTAGTAACTACCTATTACTACTTATGTATGTTTATGTGAATGGAGTGGATGAAAACTAATAGGTTCCTGTCACATGTATAAATTATGGCATGCATCTAAAAAATCAAATGGTGCATTCTTACTTGCCAAGTTAAGGCTTGACCTATGGTTCATTTTTTGTTTGTGTTGGTTTCATATTATAGGGAAAAAATCAAACCCAAATATCTGAACAAGACTTCAGTGCGCCCAGGGCTGAAGAACTGTGGTGATGTCAACTGTATAGGGCGGATTCACACTTACTTGGAGTTAATAGGCGCAATTAACTTTGGCTGTGGTATGAAGCTTTACCTTTGTATCTTACTTTTTAATAAATTTCAAAGCACCTCACAGCATTCAGTAAAGAAGGACAGAAATTCCATTGACACCATTTGAAAACACAGTTCATGAAACAAATAGACTTATAAGTGGGGGCATAGGACAGAGTTAAAATTAGAATTTTTAGAATGTTTTTGTTTTAAAGCTTGCTTTTTAAAGAGCATTTCTTTCACCCATGGAAATCCTGGAAATCAGCAAGAGTGAAAACTTCTGGCCACTGTGCTGGTGTCAATCCAGTTGATTTTGCTAAGCTCACACATTATTATGCTTTTTGTCCCACTTACACATTTTAGCCCAGTGTTTGCCATTTTCTGCTATGTTGTTTCCAATGTGTCTACAGTAATTTGGCTCAGATGTAAAAATATGTAATGCCAGAAAATTAAGATGTCTTTGTAATTATTTTGACTCTCTTACATCATGCATGTTACCTGGAAACAAAGTATAGGATCTATTGCAATGGTGGTAAACTAGGGCCAGGTAAAATTTAGGTAGGTAATCTCCTTTGGCTGATTCTACAGAAGCTGGAAGTCTACAGGCAATTTTTGTGTTTTCTGTTTTTCAAGCCACCCTCTGATACCCTTCAAAAAACCCTTTCTGCTTTTTTCCCTCCGTTTATATCCTTCAACATAAAGAAATCCAGAAAGAGTGCACTTTTAGGTGATCAAAACAATATATTGAGCATAGTCAAATGCATCCTTTAAGAGTCACAGTCAGGGAGTTGGCCCGACTCTACTAAAAAATGGATTTAAAGACTATAATGCCTGATGGAAGAAGATGCATTGCTTACAAAGACTTGTACTTTGTAAGCTGTCCAGAGACGCACAACATAATGGGACAGGATAAAAATACCCAAACAAATAATTTTCTCCATCATGTTTGTTTGTGTGTTCATGACTTTTTTTAAATGATCACTTTTCTGAGAATCCAGCCACCTGATCTAACTTCTTTTCTGGAAGAAGCCAGTAATTTGCACACTTTCTTCACATTTTTAAGTCAGTTGGATTTTTTTAAGGCTTTGGAAATAATTGTACGTCCTGACAGAAGGAAGAAATACTGCTTAAATCCTACTGTGCCATAAAATCTTGACTCTACTGTCTTTTATACTTCTGTGCCTCCCCCCCCCCCCCACCAATTCCTGCCCTGGCAGAATGTCTGTGTAGCTCTCTTAGGGTTGGTTGATTCTGGGGGTCATTGTACTCACGATTATGTTCTTATTCACATCATACACTTCACGCTATGAAGAGATATGTTAATACTTAGGTTTATCTCTGCTTTGCATATTGTCTTCTCTTGTTCATTTTTACAGAGCAGGCTGTGTATAATAGATCACAGAGCACGGACAAAATGCGGCCCAGAGAAGGCAAGGACACTATAGATGCATATCAGCTTGTGCAACGGCTGCAGTCTATGGTAAGACGGAGTAATGCATGTGGTACAAACAGTTTCTCTTTTGAAATTCTCTGGCAATTGATCATTTTCCTGCAGTGTGTGATTTACTGTAACAACAGCTTTTCAGTGGTGAGAAAGCCAACGCAAGTACATTTTCTTAAAAACCTCACTTAGGTCTTTCTGGGCTTAATAAATTACGTATTCCACTGCTGTGCATAGCAGTCCTTCTATACAGAACTTATATACTGCTCCAAGATTTTTTTTTCAAATAGACAAAAATGTAGTCTAAAGTCTGTATATTTAAATTCTGCAATGGAGGAAAAACCACACACAAAAAACAAAGCAAATAGGAAAGATACAAGACGCACGTATGTCTGTTATTGCCAGACACACTGTTAATATGGTTCAGCTAATTAATGCTCCATTGATTCACATTGACTAATTCTATGGTATGTACCTTCACTGACTAGCTCTACTATATAAGGTGAAACCAATTGGTAAATAGCACTTGCCTTTGTGCTTTATGAATCGAGTAAATCGCAGTGGTGATTGCTTAATTCTTATCAATGGCTGTCTTATCTGGTCAGCTTGGAGCTGGTTCATCTCTGTTCAGTCGGCGGTGATAAATGGTGCAGACAATGTGTGCATCGGTGTTTGATAACTTAAACACATTCAAGCAGTGCATCAGTGCAACCTAGACTGAACTGTAGCACACCGCTTTATTAGGACAATGACAGTTCAGAGCCTGGTACTCTGCAACAGTTCTGTGAATTGCCACCACAGCTTAAGAAACCTTGCTGCTTGCTGCCTTGAATAGCTTTGTGGGTGTGTTTCTGTTTGGTACAGCGTACAAGGAGACGGCGAGTCAGAGACCCATGGGGAAACTGGTGTGATGCCAGAGATTTGGAAGGACAGACTTTTGAGGTAACAGTAGTATAAACTCGTATAGTTTGAAGGTAATCCTCATATAATCCTGAAGACAAGTGAAAGCTGCATTAAAATGTACTTATGTATTATTAAGTACATTTATTATGATCATTGCTTTGATCTATACACTGTTCCTGAACATGTTCTCAGCAGAGAGAACAAAAAGTTACAGTACAATACATTTAACTAAACTCATCAAAATGGTATCATTAAAATATCACAAAATGAAAGAGCTGTATAAAATCAGTCAGCACAATTAAACACCAGGCAGCATAAAAGCAGTTTATGGAGGACTTTAAAACCTGAAAAATAAGAAAAGATCATTACCAAAATGACATCAAAGTAGGCCTCAGGGGAGGAGCATTGCACAGGTAGGGTGCTACCACCAGGTCCCATTCCTTGTATCTCCCCACTGTGGAAGGGGTGGGCTCCAAAGAAGAAAACGCTTCAATGTACCTCTGACTCACCTTCCACAGCAAGGAGCCCTGTTTTGCTCTTCCGACCTATAAAGTGGTTGGGGGCATTTCAGGAGCAGGGAAAGGGTAAAGGACTTAGTTTTCTTTTAAACCTCAGACTTTCCCTTGCTGAGCAATACTACAGGTCCACAATCCCTAACTTCAGGTTTCTAGCTAGAAAAACTCAGTAGTACAGGAGGAGAGGAAAGCCATCTTCTCTGCTGTTGGCTTACACCCTCCCCAACAGAGTGTATAAAAGGACACATGGAACTTCTCTCATCATTTGCCCTCTAGTTTCCTTTCAGAGAGGGTGATGTTTTCAACTTTTCCACAAATATAATGTGTCCGAAACTGCTTTTAGCAATACACTTGGTTGGCAGGCTCTCAAAGTTTGCATTTTAGACCAAGAGAAGTCAGCCGCTTTTAGTCTATGAGCTGGATTATTCCCAAAGACCATGTCAGTAGCTGATACTAAGTTGTAGGGCTTGCCCCAGATCCCTGCCTGCTTGCTCTCATGTTATCTGCTCCTGCCCCGCCTGCCTTAAACAAAACCAAACCCCCGCATCCCTCCTTTCACCTCTCTTAGGGCTTTCAGAAGCCAGCTCATGCAACCCATGGCCAGTCAACCTGCTCTTTCTTGGGCCGCTCACATTCTGATCAGGGCACAAGCAATGTGAGAAGAGACTTCCCAGTTCCTTTTACTTAGCCAAAAGTCTTCCAGGACAGCTTAAACATATTCAGTAGAAGAAAACAATCCCTGCCTGCAGACTTCCAAGTCTGAAAATTATATACAAAAAAGAAGGGGTGGGAAAGGAAGAGGAGGAAATATAAGTCTTTCAGCAGCTGTGGTGGAATTGTCTTGTTTCCCTTTCAGAATTCCCACTTTAAATTTGATACTGATAGCTGCTGATGCTCTTGTTCACTGTTAGAGGTTTTTGTGTATTTCTGCTATTTTAACAGTCCATTTTTCACAGTTCTAGTTTAACAACGGTAGCAGCTGTTAGCATTGGTCAGGCATGCTATTAACGGCATTGATATTAATGAGCATAAACATGTTTAACTGTCAGTATGCTAAGTTAATGTTTTTAATCAATATGTTTTGTTTTTAGCACCTCTCTGCTGAGGAGCTAGCAAAGAGGAGAGAAGAAGAGAAGCACAAACCTCCAAAAGCATCTAAAGCACAAAGGCACTCCAAAAGGTTTTAAAATGTTTATATGTCTACAGTTCCTCTTGTTCAGGTTTGACTGTTGCTTATCACCAATAATCACACTAGAAAGCTTCATTGTGAAACTTAATTGAATATATTATGCTGGATTGCAGTTCAACAATAGCAAGGTAGTCCTATGACTTTTTTTAACTCATCACAGGAATATACAAGTTTGAACTGGTCACTAGTGCTCTGGTCATTGGAATAAAAACAAGAGTGATGGAATTAAGTGATGTTTTAACTGAGTTTTCCCTCCATTAATTCTATGTTTTCAGATAAATTTTCTTTTATTTATAGTACATTTGATCCCTTTCAGCTGATTCCTTGCTGTTCCTTCACAGAAGAAAAGCCAGTAAGTATGATTTGAAGAATAAACAAGAGCACACCTGTGTTCATCTCAAAGCATGCTTTCCTTATCATTTCTATCTTTCCAGGAGCCATTCCAAGTAACAGTAGCTGCAGAGGCACTTTTGATCATGGATTTGGTAAGAGCTATAAGTTTTATCAATTTACCTTAATAAGATTGCAATCCTAATCATGTTTAGACAGAAATGTTTCTGGCTTGAGGAATGCTGAGGGTTGTAGGTGGTCTTGCTGTCTAAAAATGCCTAGGGTTGTGCCTTGACTTGGTTCATTCCAGAGTTGAAAAGAAGGCTTTACCCGTGGCAGAACAACACTGCAATCCTTATTCCTGCTGTAGAGGCTTCTGTTAGATCATGCACACAATTTAATTGACCAAGACTGTTTGTGAAATTGACAAACTTGCTTTCTGGCTTAATTTCAAGGCATGCAGTCACAAATCCACCCATACTGGTATATGAACGCTCCAAGAAAATCAGCAATGGCGCATGCGCTACAATTCCTTGTTTTTGTAGGCCATTAATTTGAGAGTAATAACTTCGTGGTGCTATCCTTGAAACCTAATAGTGTAAACAAGAGTGTGTACAGGAGTATAATAATTGCTTCTTTATTGGCCTGTTTTCGCCATGCCATAACACAGCAAATGCATATTCTTATCAAGCACATGTTCTAATGTAAATGAAAAATGGTTAGAAAGTGAAATTCAGCTTTTCTGCTTAAGTTGGGTTTATCATTAATTTTGCTTGTTTTGTTTATGGGTGGACCGTGAGTGTGGATAGGCTTGCTGTTCCCTTGAAGTGGCAGACTTAATGCTTGGGAGTTCTTCTGGAGCCATCTTTGTCATTTGAAACTCAGATGGCTTTAGTGGCACAGAGTCTCTTCTACCAACTTCAGTTGGTGATCCAGCTACACCCCTACCTGGACAGAGATAGTTGGGCTTCACTCATCTAAGATCTGGCAATCTCCAAGTTCTCCTTCATGGATCACGGCCTTGTCATGGCAAAGGAATTTGCGTAGCTCAAGAGCTCTGACAAAACGTTTGCCATGAAAACTCCATGGACAGTACCAAAAGGCAAAAAGATATGACGCCAGAAGATGAGCCCCTCAGGTCGGAAGGTGTCCAATATGCTACTGGGGAAGAATGGAGGGCTAGTACTAGTAGTGCCAGAAAGAATGAAGTGACTGGGTCAAAGCCGAAAGGACACTCAGTTACAGATGTATCTGGTGGTGAAAGGAAAGTCCGATGCTGCAAAGATCTATATTCCATAGGAACCTGGAATGTAAGATCCATGAATCAAGGCAAGCTGGATGTGGCCAAACAAGAGATGAAAGACTGAACATTGACATCTTAGGAATCAGTGAACTAAAATGGATAGGAATGGGTGAGTTTAATTCAGATGACCATCAGGTATACTACTGCGGGCAAGAATCCCTCAGAAGAAATGGAGTAGCCTTCATAGTCAATAAAAGAGTAGGAAAAGCAGTAGTGGGGTACAATCTCCAAAATGACAGAATGATCTCAGTTCGAATCCAAGGCAAACCAACATCACAGTAGTCCAAGTTAATGCCCCAACCACTGGTGCTGAAGAGGCTGAAGTTGACCAATTCTATGAAGGCCTACAACACCTTCTAGAATTAACACCAAAAAAATGATGTCCTTATCATCATGGGGGATTGGAATACTAAAGTAGGAAGCCAAAAGATAACTGGAATAACAGGCAAGTTTGGCCTTGGAGTACAAAATGAAGCAGGGCACAGGCTGGTAGAATTTTGTCAAGAGAATATGATGGTCATAGCAAACACTCTTTTCCAACAACCCAAGAGACGACTCTATACATGGACATCACCAGAGGGTCAATACAGAAATCAAATTGACTATGTGCTCTGCAGCCAAAGATGGAGAAGCTCCATACAGTCAGTAGAAACTAGACCAAGAGCTGACTGTGGCTCAGATCATGAGCTTCTCGTTGCAAAATTTAGGCTTAACTTGAAGAAAGTAGGGAAGAGTACTAGGCCACTCGGGTATGACCTAAATCATATCCCTGATGAATATACAGTAGAGGTGACAAATAGATTTAAGGAATTAGATCTGATAGAGTGCCTGAAGAACTATGGACGGAGGTTCGCAACATTGTACAAGAGGCAGCAACTAAAACCCTCCCAAAGAAAAAGAAATGCAAGAAAGCAAAATGGCTGTCTGAGGAAGATTTACAAATAGCTGAGGAAAGAAGGGAAGCGAAAGGCAAGGGAGAAAGAGAAAGATAGAAACAATTGAATGCAGAATTCCAGAGAATAGCTAGAAGAGATAAGAATGCTTTCTTAAATGAACAGTGCAAAGAAATAGAAGAAAACAATAGAATAGGGAGGACCAGAGATCTCTTCAAGAATATTGGAAGGGAAAGGGAACATTTCATGCAAAGATGGGCATGATAAAGGACCAAAATGGCAGGGACCTAACAGAGGCAGAAGAGATTAAGAAGATGTGACAAGACTACACAGAAGAACTATACAAGAAAGAGCTTAACATCCCTGATAACCATGATGGGGTGGTCACTGACCTCGAGCCAGACATCCTGGAATGTAAAGTCAAATGGTCCTTAGGAAGTCTGAGCAACAACAAAGCTAGTGGAGGTGACAGCATTCCAGCTGAGCTATTCAAAATCTTAAAAGACAATGCAGTAAAAGTGCTACACTCAATATGCCAGCAAATTTGGAAAACTCAACAGTGGCCGCAAGATTGGAAAAGGTCAGTTTACATTCCCATCCCAAAGAAGGGCAATGCCAAAGAATGTTCAAACTACCGCACCATTGCGCTCATTTCACATGCTAGCAAAGTGATGCTCAAAATCCTACAAGCTAGGCCCCAGGAGTATGTGGACCGAGAACTACCAGAAGTACAGGCAGGATTTCGAAGAGGGAGAGGAACTAGAGATCAAATTGCCAACATACGCTGGATCATGGAGAAAGCTAGGGAGTTCCAGAAAAACATCTACTTCTGCTTCATTGACTACGCTAAAGCCTTTGATTGTGTGGATCACAACAAATTGTGGAAAGTTCTTAAAGACATGGAAGTACCTGACCATCTTATCTGTCTCTTGAGAAACCTATATGCGAGTCAAGAAGCAACAGTGAGAACTGGACATGGAACCACTGATTGGTTCAAAATTGAGAAAGGAGTTCGGCAAGGCTGTATACTGTCGCCCTGCCTATTTAACTTATATGCAGAGCACATCATGAGAAAGGCGGGGCTGGATGAATCACCAGTTGGAATTCAGATTGCTGGTAGAAATATCAACAACCTCAGATATGCAGATGATACCACTCTCATGGCAGAAAGTGAGAGGAACTAAAGAGCCTCTTGATGCGGTTGAAGGAGGAGAGTGCAAAAGTTGGCCTGAAACTCAACATTAAGAAAACTAAGATCATGGCATCCAGTCCTCTCACTTCCTAGCAAATAGATGGGGAAGAAATGAAGGTAGTGACAGATTTTATTTTCCTGGGCTCCAAGATCACCGCAGACGGGGACTGCAGCCAAGAAATTAAAAGTCGCTTGCTCCTGGGCAGGAAAGCTATGGCAAATCTAGACAGCATACTAAAAGGCAGAGACATCACTGTGCCAACAAAAGTGTGTATAGTCAAGGCTATGGTTTTCCCAGTTGCAATGTATGAATATGAAAGCTGGACCATAAGGAAGGCTGAGCACCGAAGAATTGAGGCCTTTGAGTTGTGGTGCTGGAGGAAACTCCTGCGAGTCCCTTGGACCACAAGGCAATCAAACTGGTCAGTCCTAGAGGAGAGCAACCCTGACTGCTCTTTAGAAGGCCAGATACTGAAGATGAAACTCAAATACTTTGGCCACCTAATGAGAAGGAAGGACTTCCTGGAGAAGAGTCTAATGCTGGGAACGATAGATGGCAAAAGAAGAAGGTGATGGCAGAGGATGAGGTGGCTGGATGGAGTCACTGAAGCAGTTGGTGTGAGCTTGAGTGGACTCTGGGGGATGGTGCAGGACTGGAAGGCCTGGGCGAATGTTGTCCATGGGGTCGCGATTGATTGGACATGACTTTGCGACTAACAACAATCTGCAAGTTAAATTATCGTGGTATGCTCCATATCAGGCTCCCTTTGAAATCAGCTTAAAAGCTTCCACACATGTAAAATGTGATGCCCAGGTTGATAGTAGGGACAAGAAGGTCCCAATGTATGACACCAATTCCAGCCTACTTGCATTGACTGCCTGTATAATTCCAACCCTGATTCAAGGTGCTGCTTTTGACCTATAAAGCCTTATATAGATTAAGACTGCAGTACCTGGTGAAGTGTTACTCCTGACATGAATCCCCCCATATACTATGCACATCATCTGAGGTTTTTCCCTTCTATTTCCAGTGTCAGGTTATAGACTATGCTGTACTGTCAGGCTTATATTAAGGCAGCATATATTAAGGTTTTAATCAGGTCCTGGATTTTGAAATTATATTTATTATTTATTGTTTAAAATGGCTTTATATAGAGGTGTATGCTATCTGTTTATACGTATGTATATAAACTGTTTTATAGCATATAATGTTAGTGGGTAGAATATTTATTTTATTAAGTGGTCGAAATGAATCAAGTACATTTTGTTTTCGGGGCTAATTTTTAATGCCTTTTTCATTAGCACAGAAAAAGATAGCTGCCCAGCTTCTGGTCATAAAAATTTACTAAAAACTGATTTTATTAACATTTACCCAAGGTGGGAATATGTGGCTGCCCTTAGGAGGAATTGAATACATGGGACTCATTCATATAGCATTTATGCTGTAGTTTTGTATCATGCCCTAAAGTAGCCTCAGTATTAAACCAAACTCCATAATCTTCATATCACTGTTTGAGGTTTCCCTGAGGTAGGGAGGGGTTGCCAGACATTAGAGAAATTAAAAATACAATGCTTGAATAATATTTTACTCATGTCTTTAGCATGCACATGTTTCAATGGCAGAAGTAATTGGTCTGCTAGGAGGAAAATACTCTGAAACGGATGGTATAGTTGAAGTAAGTATCACATATAATGTAATAGCATCATTACAAAAATATTGCATACATACTTTGTTTTAAATATTATGTAAATATTTTATATGGTCCATCATGCCAGGGCAGGGGCCCATTTGGGAGTGCCTGTAGGGAGAGGTGCGGAAGGCCACATTCTTGTCATGACCTGTGGAGACCCCTTCCGGTGCAGGTCCGTGCTGCAGTGGACCGAATTGAACTCAAGAGTGTCTTACAGCATCTGTGCATGAGTATCCATGTAAGAGTTGGAGAACAATTTAGAAAGTATGGAATCTGAGAACTTGTTTATTCTCTTTAAAGGACAGTATTTTTTCTGTTGAAAAAATAGCACACCTAACTGTTTTCAGAGGGGTATAGCGGTGTTGGCCAGTTACAGCAGAAAGAAGAATCTAATGGCACCTAACTAACTGATGTATTTATTAGGGCATAAGTTTTTGTAGGGGATGGAGGTGGCGCAGTGCTTTAAACTGCCGTGCTGCTGGGCTGGTTGATTGAAAGGTCGCCGGGGTGAGTTCCCATTGCTCTGTCCCAGCTCCTGCCAACCTTGCAGTTCAAAAGCATGCAAATGCAAGTAGATAAAAAGGTACCACTTCGGTGGGCAGGTAACAGCGTTCCATGCAGCTCGGTGTTTAGTCATGCCGGCCACATGACCACGGAGACTGTCTGCAGACAAACGCTGGCTCCCTTGGCTAGGGAACGGAGATGAACACCACCCCCTAGAGTCCGGCATGACTGGACTGTAATGTCATAGGGAAACCTTTTCCTTTACCTTAAGCTTTTGTAGACACTGTTCACTTCATCAAATGCAATATAAGCAAAGGCATCTGAGGACTTGGACAAAGTTTGTAAAGACTTATGCCATGATAGTCTTTAAGGTGCCAGTAGATACTTTGTTGTTTTAACGGAAAATCATCACTGAATGTTAATGCCGCCATTTAACCCCTCACCTTACAGGTCTGTGCAGCAGAACCATGCAATAGCCTCAGCACAGGCTTACAATGTGAAATGGACCCAGTATCTCAAACACAGGCATCAGAAACGCTTGCTGCTAGAGGTTACAGTATTATTGGGTGGTACCATTCTCACCCTGCCTTTGATCCTAATCCATCAATACGAGATATTGACACCCAGGCAAAATACCAGGTAAATCTGTCTCTGTGTGTATATAAGGTGACTGACTTTATTTTATCGATACTTACTTGAAAATGATCTTGTAAGCTAGTAAGAATGGAAATTGTAGCAATTCTGTAGTTACGAGGAGGTCAGTTTGTATTGTGGTTAAGTACTCACAAACAAAAATATGTTTTAATTATTGTCTTTTTATTTTTCTTTCACGTAGAGTTATTTCTCCAGAGGTGGGTCGATGTTTGTTGGCATGATCATAAGTCCTTATAATCGAAATAATGCTCTTCCATATTCCCAGATTACTTGTCTGGTAATCAGTGATGAGACTAGTTCTAATGGATCCTACCGTAAGTTTCTGCAAAGTATTCCCGTTTCTTTTCTGTTGTGCATCTTTATCCCTTAAACTACAATTTTGAAGACTTTAAAAAATTGACTAACTGGAAGCATAAGAGAAAGAATGTTTACACTTAAGTGTTGGTGGCCTTTAATTAGAAATCTTATTTGAAATAAAAGGTATTTGCAGTGGAAATATATAGAGAATTTATACAACCATGAACTCAGTATTTTCATGAATGGGAACATTTTACTGTTCATGGAAGGTCCCCCGTACATATTCTAGAGTTGGCTTGCTGGTGAGGACAGGGACCAGAACAGAGAATGTAGCTTGGAGTTTTGACTCCTTGCTCATGGTATTCCTCCTTGCTAGATGATCTGGCACTAGATCATCAGGAATTCAAGATTCATTTGAATCCACATGTCCAGGAGATAAATGTTTCAGTTATAGGAGCCCGCACCCTGATTTGGACCTAACAGTGGAACTAGGGGTTGGAAACAGGCTGTGGGCTTGCACGTATTTCCCATACCTCATTCCCTCTTCTTCTCTGCCTAATTTTCCAAGGGGGATTAGGAGCATGCCTGTGTTCATTTTAACCATCTAACTCCAAACATGACTAAAGTTGCTGGAAAGAAGAAAAAACTCACATATGGCAGGAACAGCACCTTAATTTTAGACTGGCACAGTCATTACATATATATATATAATGCATGAAATGTTTCAATGGTTTTCAGGTCTGCCATACAAATTTGAAGTGCAGCAGATGTTAGAAGAACCTCAGTGGGAATTAGTACTGGAAAAAGCACGATGGATTATTGCAAAATACAGGATGTCTCATAGGTGTGTGGTGCTTGCACTTTGGAATCGTTGAATAAGCCCGTTCCAAATTGCTGTTTGTGTTTCAATGGAGAACACTTGTGTGCATCCTCTTATATGACTCTGCCATATTTATTCCAATAGCTGTGTGCCCATGGGTAAAATCTTCCACAGAGATTCAGATCTTACGTGCCTGCAGAAGGTAATCACTGTACAATCCTTGTTTCTTTTCTAACATTGCCCAAAGGCAACTAATTTTGGATCCAAGATTAGTTCTACTCTGAGTAGATCCGTTGGATTTAGTGGTGCTTAAATTAGTCATGTCCACTCAAGTACCATTATTTTCAGTAGGAGCTACTCTTAAGTAATAAGGACATATGGATCTAGCCCATTAAATATGGGAAAAATTGGATTGAAGGCAAAAGGCATAAGCCAATTAACATTTTGATTTTCAAACAGATTTTCAAACATTTGTTGCTTTGTTTGCAAATAATATAGTCAAACAGATTTTCAGAAAGAACTTTAGATATAATAAATTGGGGGGGAAGAACTATGGAACTTTGTTGGCGCAAGTATCATTTTAAGATGTTTCTCAAGAATTGAACTGAAGTCTAGCAGATATAATGCAAAAGCACTCCTATATGTGACTCAGTATGGAACAATTTCCCTGTATTGAGGACAGTGGTAGTCACAGATCAGAGGGGTTCTTTTGCTTTAATTATCCTTGTATACCAGTCCAGAAGAATATTTGCAAGGCCTTAACAGCAGACGGTTTTTACTTCTTCCATATATAAATGTTACATCCTCTGTAGTGCTTGACATACTGCATATCAAGTACAGTTTGGAAGTCCAGATAGTTACTACATTGTTATTCATGGGCATACCTCTTCATTGGAGAGCAGCCAGTTGTTGGAAGGCACAAGAGTTATGTGCACATGGTCAGAAGTGTTCCAGTTAGCAGTAATATATTCTTATTAGTTACAAGATTGCTGGTTGCTTTTCTTGAACATCACTTAAAGCAGGTGTGTTACTTTTTGTCCAACTTTAAACTAGCTAATGGAGTGTATGAGGAAGACTCTGGAAAATGTGGCAAATAGCTTCATTGCTGAAGAATTCCTGGCCCAGCTAGAAAACATATTCCTTTCAGCCTACAATAATGTGGAATGGAGTGATTCCATGGAAGAAAACAGCATGTGTTCAAGTGATCTGCCAACATGACTGTATTGAGAAGAGTAATTGCTCACACTTTATAATAAAGTTTCTGTACATGACAGTGACAGCATCCAGTGTAGCTCAGTAAAATGACTCCTGCTGAAATGCAGTGTGAAGCAATCACGACAGACTATCCAAACTCAAACATAACATCTAATGTTCTAAAATTATGGTTGTGTTGCAGAAAGATGAAAGAACTGCTTGGCAGCTACCGCTTGGATAATACAGTTGTACCATGTTGGTTGCTAAAAATTACTGAAGTGATAATGTTCTTCTTGGACCAAGAGCTGTTAGAAAGTTGTTGTTCAAATCATTATATTGCTTATGTTCTATGTGCCATTTAGGAAACACCACTGTATAATATGTTGCAGTGTCTGACCTAAGCTATCTGGATATTGGCAAACACATTTGCCCAACTGATGAATTGAAATGTCTTGTGTATTACTGAGAAGCAAGAAGGAAGAGGGAATCATTTTAAAGATAACAGTATCAGCAATCCTCTCGGAAAGCCTCAGCTTTGAGCATCTCATTTGTTGATGTGTGTTCAGCCTATTCAAGAGCTCTGCTGCTCACTACGAAAGAACTGAATGGTGAAGCAAGATTGCATGAATACATCCTCTAAAGTAGGTCGTCTTGGCCAGTTGTTGAGAACTGAGGAGGAAGGCAGAGACTTCCCAGATATTATAGAGCAGTGGTCCTGTGCATTGCCCACAAATGCTCAGTCTCTAAGTTACCTTCATCAGTTTAGCTCAAGAATCGCCTGTGCAGTCTGAGAGTCAAGGCCATGAGGTGTGTGGGCCAAGTGCCAAAGTGCAAAGTCAGGTGGGAATATGCAAAGAATGTCTGGGAAACAAGCCAGTAAATCTAGATGCCAATTAGTCTTCAGGAAGGCAAGGGACATCGTTTGTAGGGTCCATTGTCTGCCACAGGAGCTGGCTCAGGCTGATCTAGTCAGCGTGTTTTTTTTGTGGAGCACACCCCCTGGCGAAACCGTGCACTCCGCCCTCTCCAAATGGTGAATTCCCTCTGGCTCCTCCTCCTGAGTAACCCCAGGGACTGCCCCAGAGAAGCTTGGCTGCTCTTCCAGTGGAGGGCAGTCATCCACAGCCTCCGTCCCTGTGTCTGGCTGTGGCTCTGGCCCACTGCACCAGCTCTCCTCGTCTGAGCAATCCTTCTCCAGCATGTTGCCCCGTGGATGTGCTGGTCTATCATTCTTGCTGTCTTCACGTCATCTGCATGTCTAGATGGTACCAGGCTGGGAAAGTTTGTTACAGAGGCTACGGGTGTACTCCTGTGCATGTCTAGACAGAGAAATAGCTGTCGGGGATGTGCTGGGAATTTAGGACTGTTTCTCTGGCAAGACTTGCATGAGATTCTACTTAGGCATATTATGGAGACTAAGCTTTGTCTGTGGAAGTGTGTGTATTGTGGAGGTGTGAAGGCTGGTGATGGGAGGGGGAATTTAAAAAAATCAAATTCTAATTCTTTATATTATTTCATGAACTTTTAGAAAATTTGGGGTGGGGGAATAGAACAATGTCATTTTTAAAAAGCATCCCCTCCTTCACATTTCCCACCACCATTACTCCATCCTGTGAGGGTTTATTGCATGAATTTGAAAGCTAAGAAAAGATATGAAAAAACTGGGGGAGGGAATTTGTTCCTTTTTGAAAAATTGATCAGTTTTGGATTGTGGACTGTTTCCTTTTGAATGATGAATAAAATGTTTAAGATAAAGTATTCATATGTTTCTATTTGGCCTTTACTTCCCAGAAATGGTTTACTGAAAGTGACTTCTTAGAAAGAATTTTTATGCAAGTCTAGAGATGTACAATTTCTGCAAATCCTGAAACCATGAAGTTTTTTTAATCTTTTCTGTAAATTTCCCTGTATAGTTGTTTCTTCCATTCTTCCACTGTGTGACTAGAGTTAGCATTGTGTAATTTTTTCAATTCCCCACCCCCCCAATTTCTGTCTCTCCTTACCCCTCAATCATGGTTTCAAAATTTCTGTATTTATAAAAAATGTTTCCAGACTTCAACATCTCTTGTACAGCATATTCAACTCTAGCCATTTTAGCACCAGACTAGGGTAGGTCGGGTGTCATTTTGCTGCTATGCAAACTGTGCAGCTAATGCTTCCCAATGTATTCATAAGGATATGCATAACAAGAATTTTCTCTGTCAAAATCAACATTTAATTCATATATTTGCATGTAAAGGCCATTAATCATAAGTGGTGTGTGTACAGTTGTATTAACTTTGAAATACAGTCTATACATTAGTCACTAGACCATTATATCACATCGGATTGCATGAGATACAACCTCGCATTTGTCCTATGTTGTTGAATAATATCACTGCTTTGGGAGAGAAAAAATCCAAAACCATGGTTCCTGTTTTGGAGATTTGACATAACTATATTGCGGCTTCAAATTTTTATTGAATCATGTTTCCATTTATATTATAAATGTGCGTAAAATGTTGTAAATATTGTGTATTTGTACAGATAAGAATTACAGGATTATTTGATGCTAATGTTAAAAGTACAATACAGATATATTTGCTCATGATACATTTTTATCAGTAAATGAAAGGGTTTGATCTCTGAAATAATACAAAATACTCCTCATTCTGACATAGAGCATTCAATAAACTGTATGAAGATGTTTGAAAAGTTCCTTTGTTTCATGTTAGTAGTTCTGCCTAAAGGGGAGTATGACAATGTAGCGGTCTTGGTCTTGTCTCACAGGTTTGCATCCAGGGGCTGCATTCTGTGGTATGTTTTTGAGGACATGCTAGCATCAAGAGTCCTGGAATACAATCAGAACAATTTAAAGTCAATTCAAAAACACAATCTTTCTAGATTCATTGTAACTGCACTTTTCAAATGTTAGATAAATCAGCTTGAGTGACTTTATTGTTTACTCATTTCATATAAATATTGCGTAAGGGGCTTACCAGTGAGAAAATACTGGGATTCTAAGCAGCCTTGTACTTGCCCAGAACTTGGCTGTAATGCCTTCCATGGGAATTTAAGCAAAGCAAAGCATTGTTTATTCACATTTTATAATGAGGCTGGCAAAGTTCACCTGTCAACCATGTACTGTACCCCTCAGCAAGCTCTATTTGATGCTTCAGACTTTTTCTGCTTCTGAGGACTACTTTTTTGGAAAAGCATTTTGTAAAATGCTACATTGTGTTTCACACTTTGAACAAAGCCAGTAGAGGGAGCTAGGTGACAACTAATCTAGAATTAGTGACTCCAATTTACTGTAAACTCCCTGTAAGGCCTTGCAATTTCCATTACTTGTAGCTTTAAATAAATAGAAATGCTAGTTTTATGAAACTGCAAAACCGGGGGAAAAAATCAGAGAAATAGATTTCCCCCATCTGACAAATGTGATTAATTGCAGGTTTGTTATTCCTGTCTCCCATTCTGAGAAAAGCCCCTTACAATTGTCACTAAAAGTCACTAGTCAAATGCTTTGTTCAAACAGTGCACTTAGTGGACTGCCAGTGCAGCAAGAACAAGCAGACCCTGAATTAAGAATAGAAATGAGTAGAACTGCTCATTGCCAGAATGGGGAGATCAGTCGATCTTGCTGAGAGCTTTGCTGTACTGCCAGCTTCCAGAAAGCGGCATTTCTCCTTGTGTAAGAAACTGTCAATTTGAAATTAAACCTTGCAGCTATCTGTTTTTGTCTCCCAAGTTGCAACACCCTTCTTCCTGGTCCTTCCATGGTACTATAGTGTCAACTTGGAAAATGTCCCAGCTTTGTCTTTTAATTTGCCTTGTAATAAAAGGGTCTTAGCCTGGCATCAAGGTCAAAGATAAGGAGGTTGGGAGAGATAGGAGGTGTATAACACCTTATTCAAAATGCCATGACTCACCCTAAAGGATCTGACCTAACTAAGGTGAGAAACAGGAAGGATGACAGCAGGTGGGCAAAGTGGTTCAGTGGTAATTGTTTTAGGACAGGCAAGTGAAGAAATGTAGTAATGATAAGCAAGGCCTAGGGAACAGGCAGGCAAGACACCAGGTTGTATCAGAACAGGTGAATTTGGAGAAAGGGACTGGTATGTGGTTTTGCAGTTCTTCCATTTTAATCTAGCAAGAAAGCTGGAGTTGCTGGGTAACAGAAGACCAAGACAGGTTTTGAAAAGATCTGGGGCTCAGGTCCACAGGGCAGAAACAGTGCACAAATGCGCATTAGAATAATTTGCATATTCTTTGAAGGGTGTTGAAAGAATCCCATACCTAAAGACACCTCTATTGGTAAAAAAAACGATGTATAGACAGGGAGAGGAGAGCATTGGATTTCAGGGGAAAAAATCAGGCAGATAGGGTGGGGAAGGTGAGAAAGGTGAAGAACAGGGTGGCCCAAAAGACAGCTAATCTAGGGAGAGGCAGGTGCAAGAGAGATGAGATTCCTCTATTGTTCTTTCCACAAGAGCCCATGGACAGTGGTGGGGCAGGTGGCCTCTCTGAAGAGCTGGGACTCCAATTTCAGGGTTCTAGCCCCATTGGGTCACCACGTGACACCACCTGAGGCCAATAGAGGTTTCTGCATGATCCCAGGTTTCTTTCAGTCTGGCAGCTAGTGGTGCAGTTAAGGAAGTTTAGATCCTGCATGTAATGGTTTTATGGGGAATGTTTTAACGGAAACATATTTTATGAGCAGGGGCACTGATGTCATCTGCCACCTTCAGTTCCTTGTTCCCTCTGAGCCTAGCTGTTGTCTTCCCAGTAGCTGGGGAGAAATGGATTTTCTCAATAGCAATATATTGTCTCTTGTTGTAATTCAAGGTATTCTGGGAAGCTTGATTTTGAATGAGCAATTAAGACTCATCAGCTACACAAAAGACTGCTCCTGTAGAGATCAAACTGCTGCAACTGGTTTGTGGATGGAGATCAACACAACTTCGGAGTCTCCTTTAGGGGTGTGGCTACCCACACAGTCATAATGAGAGTCTACAGCTTGCCACCACACCCGGGCCAGCGCCACACTCCTTGTTGCCCTCTGGCACGGGTGCCCCTGAAGGCCCCTGCTGCCTTCTCCTTTTGCTGCAGCTCACCCCACCCATCCTCAGCACCTACTTTTGTTCGAAGATTTGAACTGCTGAAATCCAAGTCATGCTCCTCACTGCCATCTTACGATGGCCCCCTAAACTGCCTGTATCTTTCATGCAACATCCTTTCCCAAGGAACAAAAGGGGAACTCACAGAAAGGAAGAGGTATTGGCTTGCCATGTGTATAGTCAAAGCTTATGGTGTGATCCTGGATCCTGGAAACTCAATGGGAGACATACGTATTCAGCTGACTTTTCGAATGAAGGGTGGATGGTACTTGTGAATTCTTGCAAAAAGATAATTGGTGGTAATCTAGACTCCACTATCCTAAAAATAAGGGCAGTTATATCCAAACAGATGGACTTTTCAAGACAGGAGAAAATAAGTACAGTTGCATTAATTTTGAATTATGATCTACACATTACTCACTGGACCATTATGTGCATCAGATCACATGAGAAGGAATAGATTCTCCCTGATAGGATAGATTACTGTTTGCGATCAGTTTTTAACACACAGGGTCATGTTCTGGGTGATTCTACTGCCTTATCATTCCTGTCATTTCATTCTGCATGTGTACAATAAAATAAGGAGTACAGCGACAATCAAGACCCATCCTGCTTTGTAATTCTGCTACTGGTGGGGGGGGGGTTGTCTTTTCTTTTTCTGGTTACCCCGAAGTCAGCTCTCTATACAGATTGGGTGTAGATGTTGGACCGAATCCCTACACCTTCTTCAGAACCCTTACAATACTGCCTAGCCTTTCCCAGCCCCACTTCAATTTTCTTTCCATTTGTTAAAGACTGTTGTTAGCTGTAATATAAGTAGTCCCATAGAAAGCTATGTCACTAGTAAGATTCACTGCTTGTGGAAGCCTATGTTCTGAAGCAGGGGTAGGAAGCATCAGGCCTTGTGTTCCAGTTGAGCCATCTGGGATCCCACAGATGATCATATCTAAGATGATCACATCACAGTTTGGTAGTTTTCTGGACTTGTTTAGTTTTTGCCCATTATACAAGGCTGCAATATCTTCCTGACTCTTAGTTATTGGCAATAAGAGCTTAAAGCTGCAATGTGCTGATGGGAAGAAGTGTTTTAGCTCCACCCATTTGTTTTCAGCCCCACCAGTTACTGGAATGCAGCATCCAAGAGCTGCTCTGAAAGAGGGATTCTGGGTATACAGAAGCATGTGTGCAGGGCTCCTCCATCCAAGTGGGAACACTGACTGGCCAGCCATATTAGCAGCTCAATAGGAATCCATTCAAAAACAACAACTTCCCAAATTTTCTGGAGCAGCTCTTAGAGGGGTCTCAAAGGTACCCTGGGGGAGGGAATTACCATTAAACCAGTCTTTGGTAGAGATACATTTGCAATCTGGATTTTGAACCCCAGAAACACTCTGGGAACTCATACCACAGGTACCAAGCTAGGTAACGACACAGTGAAGGGACTCTTAAAATACAAAACCCCCAAAACCTAGCCTAGCCCAGGGATGGGGATAGCAGAGGAAAATGGCAAGACATCCTGAAATTCAGGCCAGTGTCAAGCAGAGATGTGGCTAAGGGATCACACTCCAGCAGGACACCACTGACAAGAAGCCCCTGGGAGCTGCTGCTCCTCTTCACAGGTACTGCTTGCTCCCCTTGCTCTTGCTCTGGCTCAGACGGTGGTGGTGGCTGGAAGGAAGGTGAGCAATCTAATTACCTGCTGTATTCTGAAGGTTTGCTGGATTTCCACATGTGTCCATGCATGTGGCAAACAGAGAAAGGGTGGATGGGGTTGGGTCTCACATTAACTTGTAACCTGGCATTTATGGTTCAGCAGATGAGGCAGGCACATTTCTGTTTGCAAAGAGCTTAACTTTGCCTTGGTTTCTGTGTTTCTGGCATGCTGAGCTTCCTCATTCAGTGGGAGGAAAAGCAGGCAGGCAGGTAAAAGAGTTGCTGCCACTCCCTCACTGAAGAAGGTGCAACTCTCTTGCTCCTCCGTGGGGTTTCTGTGTCACAATAGGCCTGTTTTGTTTGTGAGTCACCAGCCAAACGTGTTGGGCAGGTCTAATGTTAGTTTAGGTAGGGAGGGAACAGATGCACCTGTTCTACAGAAACCAGGAGGCTTCTGCAGTGGATGGGTCTTGTCTTCAGGCTGCTCTGTTCACCCATTTCTTCCTCATGGAGTCTACTTTGGAGGCTGCATTGTTTTTGATACTTGTGGCTGCAGCAGCGGCCCAGAATGAGCATTGCATGTGTGCAACAAATAAACGGGCACATTGTGCCCTGGACTCTGGTAGCTGCATCTGCACAGCAGCTGGTTCAGGTCAGAGACTGGATTGCTCGACGCTGACTTCAAAATGCCTGCTTATGAAGGCAGAAATGAACACTCGAAAACCCAGGCACTTTCCCAAGCCCGAGCATGGCTTTTTGGACAACGACGGACTTTATGATCCAGACTGTGAGGCCAGTGGCATCTTCAAAGCTAGGCAGTGCAATAAGACGGATACTTGTTGGTGTGTCAACAGCGCCGGAGTAAGGAGAACTGACAAGGGTGATAAAAACATGAAATGCACTGAGCTTGTCAGAACAAGCTGGATCTTCATTGAGTTAAAGCACAAAGAGCGAGAATCTGCCTTCTCTGAGACCGAAATGGCAAACAGTCTTCGGCAATTCATTCAGAACCGGTACAACCTTCATCAAAAGTTCATCCCAACGATCAAGTATGACTACCCATTCATTCTTATTGACTTGAAACAGAACAATTCAGAGAAGTCTTACAGAGATGTCGATATTGCAGATGTAGCCTATTACTTTGAAAAAGACATCAAGCATGACCCCATTTTTCATGCTGGTGATGCTTTTAATCTCTCTGTCAATGGAGAACCTCTAGATATTGAAGAGATCCTAATCTACTACGTTGATGAAAAACCCCCGAAGTTCTCCATGAAACGCCTGACAGCTGGCCTGATTGCTGTAGTGGTGGTGGTGATCTTGGCCATTATTATTGGGATTACTGTGCTGGTGATTTCCAGGAGATGGAGGACTGGAAAGTATGAGAAGGTTGACATTAAGGAACTGGAAGTAATGAAAAGAGGACAAAGTGCACATGCGCCTTAATTTGAAGGCAGAACTAGGAATTTATCATGGAGAAAATGGAAAGTAGATGGCAAGATTACTCATCTCTTTTGAAGCAGGAAGGGTACTAGCTTTTCCTTTTAAAAAAGCAAGACAGATAGAATCAATAGTTTTATAGAAACTTCTGCAATTGCAGATTGGAAGAATGATATGGATATTGTTAAGATTTTCCTTTAAGAGTATGCTATATATGTCTCAAAGAGAATGCCAGATCCCTGAAATTTTCCAGCTTTTTAAAAGAAAAAAGTTGTTTCTTAGCTACACAGTTAGCTTAATTTATATTACCTGCATTTCTACATTTGATTTTGTGCATATCAGTGGTTTTTTTTTCTTCCTTATTTTAGTGCTCCTTGGCCCGTATTACCCAATTGCACTATGTTTGCTTATTCATTTATTTCTTTAATATCCCTTTCTGACAAAAGTGACAATTCTGTTGACCAGAAGAAGAAACTTTATTGCAATTCATGTTAAGTGCGTGACTTACATGACAAGACTTAGCTCAGAAAGAAAAGATGACTTTTAGTAACTCATGCTGCTATTATAAGTTGTGCAATGCAAAGCAGCTGACATGGACCAGTGTCAGCACTCAGATAAAAGCAGGGACTGAATAAGCAGCTCATAGAACATGAGCCCAGTGGTTACTAGTCATGATGGCTGCCTGTCACTTGCAGGATGAGAGGCAGCAGGCCTTTGAAAACCAATTTCTTGGGAACAGCTGGAAGGGCTGTTGCCCTTCTGTCTTGTCAGGAGGAAATAGGGTGATTGGCAATGGAAGCCTTTGGTCCAGTCCAGCAGGGCTTTTCCCATGTTCTGAAGCACTTTCTCAATTTCCTGGCAGAAAATAGTGACTAATATCCCCTTTGTCTTCTTTCATAGTGGTTTATGGACTTTGGACAATGGGCATAATTGTTTCTATATTGTATAATAGGGAAAATGTATTGAATGCAAAGATGCCTTATTAGCACACTGTCTGCATGTTTATTCCTATTGTTTGCATGTGCTGTGGAGGGGAAGTTGAGAATATATACTAGAAACCTAGATTCCTCAAGGTCATAAGAAAAACTGGGAACTTGAACTGGATATAACAAAAGAGAATTAAATTGCTACAAAAATATTCAGGAAAGCAATACCAGTTGTATAGGAAAAGAAATTATCTTTTATTCCTCACATATATTAAGCAGAATATTTTTTTTCAAGGCAAATTGTCTTTATAAACAGATACAGCAGTTACCCTGCAATGACAGTGTACCCTGACAATACACGTATGTGAAGGCGTCACATTAAAAAAGGGTTTTGAGCTGGTCTGCTGTCTTATCTTCACTGCTGGTGGGGAAAAGCTTGTGCCCTCTTCCCTGTGCGCCGAGATGTCCCTCAGAATGCACCCACATGGTGAACTTTGCATGGCGGGGGACATTTTCAAGGGTGGTGGTAAATGTGTACCTGCAGTTATGTGAGCCTGTATGTACTGTGGGTGGAGGGCACGTGTATGTGTCTACATGTGACATGAGAATGGTCGCATGTCATGTGTAAGAAGGCATGAATGTGTGTATGGAAGAGCCTGTGAGCTGGCCCTGTTCACTTCTGGCATACGGCTGCAAGGTGTTTCCTCAAAACAGAATGTAGCCCTTGAGCCAGAAAAGGATGGATGCTCAGAAGTGATTCTCAGTGAGTACAGTGGGCCTTTCTTCTGCACATGAGGACTGGTACAGTCCGTAAACCAGTTTTGACTGAAACATAGGTTTATTCAAAAGAGCCTGGTAATAAAAGGCAGAGTGTCTGCCTCAGTGTGCACGGACACAGCTCAGCATCTTCGGCTCATGGCTTCCAGTGATAGCAGGGAACAAGATGGAAGAAAGACTATGGACAGGAAGACAAGTACAAGTAATCAAAACCATGGTGTTACAAAAGAAAACAGTAGAAAAATATAGGTAACTGTGGTCTAAGAGGATCTTTTTCTTTGTCAGGATAAGCCAGGCACAGTTAAAGTTGTATCAAAGTTAGTGTAATTAATTAACCTCATCTGAAAATGGATGGACCCTGGTATTTCTGTGTATGTCATCGGAATCCAGTTTTGTTCACTGCTAGGGGACAGAAAAAGCTCTGAGGTCATAAATGGGGAGGGATAGAGTATATGTCAGCAATTAATCAGAAGAACAGAAAGATTAATTGCAGCAAGGAGTGCAGAGAACATCTCTGACCATATGTCAAGTACAGGCACTGGAAGAACTTGACTTTAACAAATTCTGTGTACTCCCAGAAGGATATTGCTCACTTCTCTGCCATCTTAACCTTCTCACTACTCGCTACTTTACATGTGGTTGGCATCACATTTAATTTTAACTGGACACTGCCACTAATGTTTCACCCAAAATGTTCATATAAATGTTCTAGCTGTCTGAAATTTCATGGGGCAGTGGGGGCGGGGAGAAAGGTACTCCTAAAGTGTGTACAAAGGACCAATTTGAGCTACTTTCAGGATTATGCGCTTGCTTTCATACTACAGCTAATGGTCATATGACAAAAAGTTCTCCAATAGCATCTCTGTAGATCAAACTGATTACAGACTGACCAGCAATCTGGGTCAAGGTGATCCCTCTTTCACACACCTGTTGCAACTGTACATTGGAGCCAACCCATAACATGTTCTCTGAGAAGAGAAACGTAGTAGACTTCAGCAGTAGACATGTTGATGGATCGTCAAAACAGAATGGAAACAAACAGGATGAAACATTAGCATTATACAATAACCCTAGAACAGGTTGGTCTAACATGTGGCTCATGGCCCCCATGCAGCCCTGGGGCCTTGTGCTGCTGCTCAGAGCTCCCCTGTTCCCTCCACCCCCAGTCTGGATCCCAGCAATGGCATGGGCATGATTTGGTGAGCTCTCTCTGAAGAAAGCAGAACAGGCTGGCAGAGCTTGCCTCAGCATGACCCGCACCGCTGCAGCACAAAGGGGAGGGGCGGGATTTGGGCTACAGGGGTGCGTGTCCTCAGAGCCCAAACCCTCAAGGGAAGCTTTTTGGCCAGCGAGATAGAACTGGCCCCTGTGCACATGTGCCTGCCTGCCCACACACTATGGCATCGTTGCAGAGCCGGCCGGAGGGCTACTGTGCCTGGACATGTCATGTTCTCTGCATGGTAGAAGAAGGGAGCGGGAGGTACTCCAGGCGAAGAAGGGGTTGGGAAGGGCAGTGGGATGGAAATCGGCCCGTCCAGTCTCCAGCATCTTGGCTTGGCAGTGGCATGGGAACATGGCACGCCTGCGATGGAACGTGTCCTTCCCGGCCCTTCCACACACGTCCTTCTGCTCTTCTTTGCAGCCACACAATTTGGACTGGGCATCCCAGGCATGAAGCTTGATGGCGCCACTGCTGTCCAGGGGATCCCTTCACCTGCAGTGAGGCTTCTTCCCCTCCCGCTCCTTGGGGAACACAAGCTGGCTGGACCCCTCGGAGCTTGGGGCATCACGCGAGCACAGGAAGGCTCCAGCTCAGGGGTCTGAATGGGCAGAGGGTGCCCCGGCCTGCCTGCTTGCCTTCTTGCACTTTGGGCAGCACAGGATGGCAGCGGCAGCCTCCAGCTAGGAGGGCTGCCCCCTTCCTTGCTGCTCAGAGTGCTTACTCAGGGAAACACTGGCAGGGGTGGAGGCTGCCCGGGGGAGTCTAGCCCTCCTCAGCATGACACCTGGAGGTGAGGGGCCCTAATGAGGAGCTGGTGGCTTTCTTAGCTGCCCTCTCCTCTGGGCATGCTACCTGCTGGCACAGCCTTTCCCCCTGAGCTGTGGAGCAGGAAGTCTTGGCCCAGCGGGCATGAGGGAGCCGGAGCAGGCAGGGCCGGTTCCATGGAGCCATAGCTGCTACCTTGTCCAGCTCCCTGTGTGCTCTCACTCTCCCTGTGGCAGGGGCAGAGGGCTGGGCTTGCTGAGCCTAGGACTGAGCCTTGCTGAGCCTAGGACTACTGAGCCTAGCAGCCCCTAGATTCCGTACTGAAGTCCTTGTGCGGCCCTCAAGGTACAAGCTGGACCACCCTGCCCTAAAAGATGATCTGACTCTTCAGCCCCAGCCACTTTTTGCATCCACCAATGCTTGCTCTCAGATAGCCACAGATAGTCTTTAGTCCTTTCATGGCTCTGACCTCTCACTTCCGCATCTATCATAATGTGATGTAATCTTTTGTGTGAACACGGCTAGCTCCTTCAGCCACTTTGACAATCTACCAAGCCTTAGAAAATCCTGCATGTGCCAACTTCCAGTTTGGGGACCAGTTTGTTTAGATTATTATAAAGCAACCCAACATAGGGGCAGTGCCCTATCCTGCTTCTATTCATTCTGTTCCACCCACGGGAACCACCAGGCATGCAAGGGGGAGTGAGTGGTTCCTGAAGCAATCCTGAAAATTAGTGCAAATGCTTGTTTCTGGAACAGGGAAGCTGAGCAGAGCTCGCTTCCTCAAGTCCTGCTGCCTCGCATTTCTGCTTATTTGAGGAACCGTTGCAGTGGATTCTGCCAGTATGCAGGCAGCAGTGGATTTGGCCCATTGCTTGTGGAGCCCTGGCTGTGTGGTAAAAGCTGATTCTACTGCCAGAGCTTAGCAGAGGATCCACACAACAGGCATGTCACTGGCTGGATCGCTGCATGGACGGGTTTCTCAAGTATTGCTTCTGTTAACCCAGATGAACAGGCACACGCGTGCTGATTTCATTCTGCAGCGTCCTTCTCAGGCAACATTGTCCATGCTTATTAAGTGGGCAACATTCATTTTCTCTCAGAATACAGAATATAGTTACTTGCTTAATTGAACACATTCTTTCAATTAAGAAAGAAAGGCGCTGTGAGGTAAAGAACTCATATCAATGAAGAATTGGGAGTGTTGTTTGTGTGCTGTTTTACAAACAAACAAATATTTGTGCTGTTTTAGCAATAGACTAAAATGTATTAATTTGTATGCCATCTTACTTAAAATCATAGAATCATAGCAGAGT